CACAGTTAGCATTCGATAAAGCACAGTTAACTTAACTTAGCATTGAATTGCACATTTTGTGGAGCTTGTAGAGTGCTTGGATAGTACTTTTTCTTCAATTTGAAATCCTCTGATCGATCTCCCTTGTCATGTTTTTCTGTGTTCAAATCTCTAAAACTCAAAAACGAAACAAGAAAAAAAAAGCCGTGACAAGTGATAGCCATTAATTGGCATTGTTTTTGGGATGATCGAGGAAATGGAACGAACGAGAAAGGGGGATTTTTGGAAAGGAAAAGGGAAGGAGAGAGAGATATGATTGAGAGATCTCTCCTCTCTCCTTTCCTTCACTCAAAATGGTCTCCTCGTTCACTACTCGGTTTTGGAATTTGAAATGCTCGAGAAAATCTTTCAATTTATCACTCTCCTTTTACGATCGTTTTACTTTTTTCTTGTGTACCTTTGCTGACTTTTCAATCGTCACTCTGAGATTTTACAGCCTCATCCAACAAATCAATGCTTCATTATTTTTGTTTCATTATTTGAATTTCATTACGCATGCTTCATTATTTTTTTTCGTTTTTGGTTTAAAGTGGAACTCTTTTAGGACTTGTAAATTCAAAGAACCTGATTTGAAAGTTCAAAATTCGTTTGTCCAATAGTTTTGTTTGGATGTAGCTACTCTGAAGTTCAACTGTTTTGTCCAATAGTTTTGTTTGGATGTAGCTACTCTGAAGTTCAACTATTTTGGCTCCAAAATCCCTATCTCTCTCTAATTGAGGAAAAAATAATGCGCGTTTTTTATGTAACAATTTATTTGCATTCTACAAGAAATAGCACTTATCAATCAGTAAGATATTCTCGATTTTTGACTATTTTTTGATTTCGACTCTTATCAATGACTTCTTCCCATCTTCGACGCAAGTTCCTGATTCTATTTGTGAAAAATTAGGGAGGAGCCAAAATAGTTGAGCTTTTTGGAGTGAAGCTTTTCAGAGTGAAGCTTTCTTTTGACTTGAGCATGATCATTGAACTTTTCTCCCATGATAAACTGTTTCAAGGATTGAAGAGTAATCTAAAAAAATAAAGAGTAATCTAACGAGACTATTTTTTAGATTACTAAGGCTTTTTAGATTACTAGGACTTTTTAGATTACTAGGATGTCACGTCCGTCTGTCAAACAGACGTGACGTTTCTCTTGGGAAGTTCTATGTACACCTTCGAATTTACACCATCTAATGTACACCATCTAATGTACACCATCTAATGTACATCATCTAATGTACACCATCTAATGTACACCAGGACTTTTTAGATTACTAAGACCCGTTCGATTACTTAGACTAAGCAATCTCACGGGACGTAACGTAACGAACGTAAGGCGCATGAGAAAGCAACTTCCAGCTCAGCTCGTCAATTTTTTTTGTGAGTGATTTCAGTGTGGGGTTGTCGCATTGTCGTGCAAGAATCGAATCGTTGTTCTGCGATTGATGAATTAAGCCCCAATCTCTTTACAGCATCTTCAACACTAGTCAATTGTTTTGAATAGAGATCAGCATCCATGTTTTCTTCTGGATTAGCTAACTGCACCAAACGTTTCGATTTCCATCAGCAACAAAGCATTATTCATGAATATCAGGTTTTGAAGTGATTTTTTTAGTAGATGGCCATTGGTTCTTTCTTTTAACATTCTCGTAATTAATCCAAGTTTCATTAGATGTCAAAATCGAATCCGAAAAATCAGCATTGCATTTATGGAGTAAAAAAACATTGACACGAGTTGTTTTGTTGTCTTGAGTGCGGGGATTTTCCACAGTGAATCTTTCCTGATTTGCAGATGGTTGTCGATTTTCTTCTGATCGAGATCAAACATTTCTGCAAGCTCGTGAGTCGTGAGTGTTGGATTGAAATCAATTTCAATTCGCAATTCGAAATTCAAAACGTGCTTTGTTTTTTCTTCAACCTAGAGCACCAACTTTGTCTACGATAAAGACTTGTTGATTGTTGTTGTTGATTGTTGATTGACTGTTGATTGTTGTTGTTGATTTTTGTTGTTGATTTTTGTTGTTGATTGTTGTTGATTGTTGATTAACTTAACTTTATTCAAAAATGGCATACAATTGAACGTGTTTCTCTAGACGTTAATTCAATTACCGTAGATACTGTAATAGTACCCCACCCCCCTCGTACAGTCGCGTAGGCGCAAAAGTTTTTTATTATTTCATTTTTTTCAAAGCGCCCGTCCTTTCAAAAAATGCGTCTTTGGTATCAAAAAATAGCTGAAATTCAGGGCTATTTTTTGATATCTAAGCGCGCATTGTAGCATAAACCAGTGTCGAGAAAAATTCGTTCAAAGCTAGACTACGCGACGCTCCGACCGTCATTATGGGGGTGGGGTACTATAACAGTATTTACGATAATCTAATCTAATTAAAGTTTTATTTTAAAAACCGTCGCTTATTTGAAATTCAAGCTTTTCAAACTTTCGATTTTTGCTTTCAATACGGTACTTAGAAACTATTGGGTTGATGCATAATTATCCGGACTTCTTTTATAAATGATTTTATTTAACAAAAAATAACATAAATAGTTAGAAAAATATGTTTAATTGATTATTCTGGAGCATATTCACCGCCTACATCAATAACTGATTGCCATTTGCTTGGAAGACGATCGATTCCACGAGCGAAGAATAAACGATCTTTGGAGGCAATCCACGCTTTAACATCGTCTATCAAGTCATCCAAATCGTTGTAGATCTTATTTGTTTGCCAATTTTTGAGCGATCGATTGACGTGGTAGTCCGTTGGGGCTTCTCCAGTTCTTTGAGATCGCGAAACGTCTCTGCGGCAGACCATCCCTTTTCGAAGTGGTAGAGCATGATATGGCGAAGATGGATATGATTGTCGACACGCATTTTGTTCACTAAAGAATAACGAATATTTAAAAAAAAGAAATAGACAAAAAGCTTTCAAAACAAAAAAGATACAAGCACGCAAAAAGAAGTCCGGATAATTATGCATCAACCCAATAATTAGCTAAAAGCTTGTGCTTGAGCAAATAAGTAAAAATTAGGCTTTTGCGCAAAGTTTGTATCTATTTTTTAGAGGTTAGAGCTTTATTCAGTTGTTCTTTCGATAAAAGATAATTGGATTACGATAGATTATGTCTCGAATTGTTTAAGAGATAGATTAATATGTGTAAACGGGCGTTACGCAAACCTAATAGTACTAATAGTACTAATAGTACTAATAGTAAACGGGCAATCTAATAGTTCACAATTATATAGTAGATATTTAGCTTTTACAATTAGCCTTTCACTTACAATTAGCCTTTCAAGTAGTTTCCTTTGTCAAATAGTTAGCCCATTGTTATCATCATACCAACGATTGCTTGTTAAGCCTTTTGCTTTTGCTATTCTTTTGCTATTCTTTTGCTATTCTTTTGCTATGCTTTTGCCATTCTTTTGTCATTATTCTAAAAGAACTGTTCAAGTTAGATGAGTTTTAAGATTCAAATGTCCACTATTCATTCATCTATTCACATTTTTCTCAATTACACCAATCGAATTCTCTCATTGAAAGCAATTCGATCCTCCTCCATCTCTCCATCCACCAAGAGCACAGATTTTTGCCCCTCTCCTTTTCCCTATTCAAAACAACCAGAAAACGATGACAAAGAGGAATATTTCCTGTATATTTGCCTTCTTTTCCCGATTTTTCTCTAGAGTACAGTAGTTATTCCGCCCGAGTTGGCCCATCTCCATCCCATTTTCTTTTTCTATATGATTTTTGTTCAATTCACTACTTTTTCTAACAAATCGTTGGCAACAATTTTCAGAAAAATTAAGTAAATTTTTAGGGAATCGATTTGTTTTTGTCTGTGAATCTGAAGCTTTTAGGGATTCTTTTTTAGACTTTGCCTAAAAGCCTAAAATCCAATCCTATAGGCTGGAGTTTCAAGTTTAAAAGATATCCAAAATATGTTTTAGCTTGTAGTCTGAGCCAGGTAAGCAAACAAACTTTGCATGTACAAACGCACGCTTTCTGGCAACCTATTTGAGTTTTTGAGCTTCTATTTTACACAATGCAAAGCTCTTCACAGAAAAGGAGAGTTTGAGTATGCTAGTTTGTTAGAACTCGGTCTTTTAAGATCTTTTAATTTCTTTTAAGATCAGTGAGGCTTTAGATCTTGGATCTTTTAGGTATCTCAAGACTACAAGATAAGACAAGACAAGACAAGACAAGACAAGACAAGACAAGACAAGACAAGCCAAGTCAAGCCAAGACAAGACAAGCCAAGACAAGACAAGCCAAGCCAAGCCAAGTCAAGACAAGCCAAGTCAAGACAAGACAAGTCAAGCCAAGACAAGACAAGCCAAGCCAAGCCAAGCCAAGCCAAGCCAAGCCAAGTCAAGCCAAGTCAAGCCAAGACAAGACAAGCCAAGCCAAGCCAAGTCAAGCCAAGGTACTCAAAAATCCATTCAATGACTCATATTTTCAAAGTTCAAACATTTTTTACAAACATTGTCTCTGTCTCTTTCTTGTTTTCTCTTTTCTGTTTCATTTGGGTAAGACGATCCCTTTCCCCTTTTTTCTCTTTCACTTCAATTCGAAAGCTTAAAGTTGTTTTTTAGTTTCGTTGATTGCAAACTTCCGGGGCTTTCTTTGAAAAGTTTGGAGTTAAGAAATATAAAATTCAAAAGTTTATTTCAAAAGTTAACCAAAATATAGTTTATTTTGAATACTGAAAATTAAGATTACTGAGCTTTCAAGTTTACTCCAAGACTCTTCTCTATTTTACTGGCTATCTTATTTTCCTGAAAGAATTCCTAAAAGTTGTTTTTAAAAGTTAAAAGTTTTCCCTTGCCTATGCAAATTTGTGATGATTTCTCTTTTCTTTTTGTTGTTTTTCTAGAGAAATACTTGAAATCATCATTGAAATTGAATTCTTTTCGAGCGTGGTGATAAAGCAAACGAACCAAGGGGAGGTGTTCGATGTATTGGTGATAGCGATGCAGCACAATGCTCATTCACCACTCATCTCTCCTCCTCATTCAAACGATAACAACTCTAATCATTCTACAATGCATTACATTTACTCAGTGGTAAGTTGAAAATTGTTTAAAATGATTTAAATACTTTTAAAGCTCAATGCTCATCTTTATCTCTATCTATTTGATTTCAGAGATTTAAAAACATAAATCCATTTGGCTAAACCAGAGAGCTCTTTAAATTTCATTTAGGAATTAGCTTAGATTAGATTAGGTTAGATTTGATTAGATTAGATTAGATTTGATTTGATCTATCCTCTTTCCAGTTTAATCAGATAGCCCTGCAAGATTGGACCCTTCAGTATTGAAGAGTTCAGAAATGTGATCTACATGAATTATCTCCATGATGAATCTTACAGTACTCTTCAGTAATTCAGTAGAGTGAAACTTAGTTTTAAGTCAGGAGATCTGTTATCTGTACAGATTGTCTACCTTCCCCCGCCCTAAAAATTTATCTAGGGGAGATTGATTTGATTTGATTGGATATAGATTGAATTTGAAATAGATTTGAAATAGATTTGAACTAGATTTAAAATAGATTTAAAATGGATTTGATTTGAAATAGATTTGAAATAGCTTTGAAATAGATTTGATTTGAAATAGATTTAAAATAGATTTAAAATTTCATAAACAAATTCATAAACAGATTTGATAAACATAATTAAAATCAAATTTGATAGAAACGCTTGAAAAAAACTATTTCTGTTACTCAATTTCAGCTTGACGTTGATCGAGCGAAATGAGCTCGCGCGAAAGTTTAAGTACTACTTCAACTCAGTTCGACCGATCGCTAGAGACAATTATGTGTCCGGTTTGTATAAATAAAAATATAAATAAAAGAAATCCACACATATCCAATAAAATAATCTCTTCACAGACGAAAACGGTACTCATTTCACGATCGAGACGGAGGTCCATTTGTTGAACTCAATCAGGACACAGGTAAAGCTTCATTCTCACTTTTCTCACCAATCACTTTTATCATTTAAGAATTCTGTATCTTTGGAGGCTTTTGTTTTATGCAAATTCGTTGATGATCGATTGATTTTGAGAGAATTGGAGGATCGATTTGAGGTTGAGAAAAAGTTTCAATACCGTATTTTCTCTAATAGTGCACCCCGCCGAGTTGATGACTATTTTACGGTTTCCAAGCTTTTGCAGAGGCTCAACATTCAAATCCCCCATTAGATCTCATCGTCAGCTACATTTTCCGACCCCACATCGATAGGTTCTGATAAGCGGTTCTTGAGATTTCGAGCAATTTAGGCGACGCTCAGGGTGCACTACTATTGGGTTGGTGAATTGAAAACTGCGGGACTTTGAACTAAAATTTATTCAACATAAAACCATGAATTCATTCCAAATAATTTCCATTATTATTGACGACTTGTGCCCATTTTACAGGCAATTTGTGGATTCCTCTTTCGTAGTAGGATTTTGGTTTGTGTGTGAGACAAGTGTGAGACTCAAAAATCGAGGACTGGAGATGTCGAGATGCCCCAGTTTGAGCACTTTCTTCAAAAGAAACCCATTTTGGTGTAAATAGAAAAGTTGTAGAGAATCAAAAATTAGGCTTATAGCCAAATTTGCAAAAAGATACATTTAGTAGTTTCGCTTAAAATGCAAGTTTTGTGAAAATTCGTAAATTTGGCATTTCCTGAAAACCAGTTTTTGAATCGTTCTGAAAATTTGGATATAAGCTTCATTTTTGATTCTCTACAACTTTTCTATTAACACCAAAATGGGTTTCTTCTGAAGAAAGTCCTCAAACTGTCACATATGACAATAGCCGGCAGTTTTCAATTCACCAACCCAATATTAGAGAAAATACGGTATACGAATTTGAGCTCTATTCAATCAGGGATTACTTTAAAAGCCTTCAAATGATTTAAAAAGAAAAGGATGATCTAATATAAAAGATCACAGATAGTTATAGATAAAAGTTTTAAAGTTAAGCCATCCTGTAATTGAACAGAACCCAAATTTCCGTTTAGGTCACTGAATTTGAGCCTTGGCAACCGAGGATTACAACCAGGTATGGCTAAAGCTTTCTTATTAAGGATTAAGGTATAGATTTACTCAATTAAAGTGAACAGATTAAGGCTTAGGTTTAGTCTAAAGCTTTGCTATAGCCTTGTTGCTTATTTTTCAGCCCGACAACCTCATTAAAAACGAGCATCTTCTTGTCACCGCAAACCGGCGAGCTCAATATTTACTATCGGTATGTATTCAAGAAGTTTTCTTTTGTTTATTTTCAATCATTAAATCATTTGTAATCATTGCAGAGTAAAAGAAACGATCCCTTGTGTTGGTGACTCTTGGCGTCATCCATTCGAGATTTTCAACTGTGATTTGACGATTGAGAATGGTGGAGGTTCGTCTAGAATTTTTTTTTAGATTTAATATATAGCAAATATAGTTATATGTTAGGTTAATATATTATATATTATATAATAATATACCGTAAATCCTGTAATAGTACCGCACCCCCATAATGACGGTGCGGAGTGTTGCGTAGTCTAGCTTTGAACAAGTTTTTCGCGACACTGGTTTATGCTACAATGCGCGCTTAGGTATCAAAAAATAGCCCTGAATCTCAGGGCTATTTTTTGATACCAAAGAGGAATTTTTTGAAAGTACGGGCGCTTTGAAAAAAATGAAATACTAAAAAACTTTTGCGACTACGCGACTGTACGAGGGCGGTGGGGTACTATTACAGTATTTACGATAGGAATATATTAGGCTGTCCAGAAATATAAGAATATCTTAGGCTTTTCGTTCCTTTTTGTACTTTTTGTACTTTCGTTTAAAACCAACAAATTCACCAAATTGAATTACGGTTTTTTTTCATTAGAAAGGCCGATGATTATTCTCCAAAATAACTTTAAACCAAATTTCAAATGTCTTATAAAAGAATTGAATCAGATACGATGAGATCTGAATTGAATTTTGAACTGAATTGAATTTTGAATTGAATTTTCTAAAGAATTTTCTTCAGGGATTCTCCTTTGCATTTTAAATGATACAAAAAGAAGGTTTAGATGTAAATTTGTACAAAAAATTATTAAAACTCATGAAAATTTAGTTTTATTGAGTTTTATTGGATTCGGAATCTAGTTCGGATACTTTTTTTTAACGTGTTAATTTTCAGAAGAACGCCTCCGAGTTGTCGACCATCGAGACGCTCGACCGAAGCTTCAATTGCGACAAGTTGGCCTTGAAATCGGTTTGCTTTTGGTTGATGGACAAATATATTGATTTAAATTGGTCGTTAAATTGGATGAAGTTCAGAAGATTGGCCAGTTCCCCTCATTCGATTGTGGTTCCGTGGAACTTGGCATACAACGCTCGTCTCCGTCTTTCTACCGTCTTTCCTCGTTTTTGCTGTGGTAGCTTGAGTTTTTATTTGATCGATTTAAGTTTAAAGCGTTAAAGTTTAAAGTGCTTTTATGCAATTCCTACTTTTCAATCAGTTTTTCTTAAAACCAAAAACTTGCAGGTAGTTTTTGCGCAATGGAAGCGACGAAAAATCCAGGTGATCGTCACGGTGACCGCCTTGATTTGTATCGTGATTTTGGTGAGGAAAGAGATAAAGATGAATAAGAAAGACAAGATTTTTAAAAATAAATAATACTGAAGCAGAAATAGCATTCATTTGAGGAATTGAAACTAGAACTAAGGAGGATCGAAAATTCCTGCCCCGCCGGGACTCGAACCCCCGACCTTCCGCTTACCGGGCAACTGTGCTAACCATTACACTTGATCTCATTTAGCGCAGAGGGAGTTAACTCGTCTAGAGAGGAGGGAAGTTAACGCCCTCTGGAGTACGGGGGATCGACATCGATAGGGGTTTAATGGTTAGCACAATGGCCTGGTAAGCGAAAGGTCGCTGATCCGAGCTCGGCGGCGGACGAACTTTTGATCTACCTAGTTACACCAGAAGGGACCTGATTTCCCCATGCTTCAGAGGAAGTTAGGTGAGCAATAACAAAGTTCTTTAGCTCTCCTCTCAAAGAGCTTATCCGTCCTTGACGTTGCGGGATCTCTGGTTGTGTTCGACTTTTCTTCATACGGTTGGTGGAAAGCCCCGGGCACAGCACAATCAATTTTTAGATATTTTTATTGATTGTCGATTTGACTCTTCCCGCGCGAAGAGTTCGATACACTTTGATGGTCGATGTAAATGGGAAACCGACAATGGCCTCACCCGAATCGAGTCCACCAAGTGAGCTGTTGAAGTGAATTGTATTTCTGGGAATGAGAACTTTCGCACAGCTCTTTTGCTCTTTTCAATACTTGTAGAGCATGTACAAAATGTTCAATATTTCCGCGACTTCTTTTTCGTAGATTTGCTCCCAAGTTCAACTCAAATTTGTTAAGTGTTATCTAAAAACTTGAAGCCCTTAATCTTGACTACATTTCTCTATTCAAAGTTTCCCCGATTGAAGATTTGCAACTTATTTTCACCCTTGAATTGAACTAGTTGATCCCTAGTTGAGTTAGAGGGTCCAATTCTGATTTCTGTTTACTTTTTTTGAGTCAAATCTTCAGTAAACTCAAGCTAGATGAAACAATACCAGAATTAAATCTATCCACTGATTTCTGTTTACTTTTTTTAAGTCAAACCTTCAGTAAACTCAAGCTAAATGAAACAATACCAGAATTAAATCTATCCACTGATTTCTGTTTACTTTTTTAAAGTCAAATCTTCAATAAACTCAAGCTAGATGAAACAATACCAGAATGACATCTATCCACTGATCACAATCTCCTTTCCATCAACAATAACAGCATGTTTCCCATTTCAAAATTTTAGCACAAAAAGCCACAATCGTGCACGCCGCATCATCTGGTGAGGAAGCAATTGTGGATTTAGTGGAATATGATGAGAATTTCGATATTGATCGAGCGAAGCCTGTCGGATGGCCGATTAAATGGCTCAAAGATGAAGACGATGGATGGCGTGTGTTTTTCATTTGATTGCTAAATGAATGAGGAAATAGGATTGATTAGATCAGCACTGTACTAACAAGTTGTGGCTTTGAAACTGAAAGTCGATTCATCTCCCATTCAGCTTCTCCATTGATCGGTGGTCGGAGAGCAGTGATGGCCATTCAGAAATTTGCCGGTCGGACTTTTGGACAGACAAAAGTCGAGAGTCAAGTGATTCGGGGATGCCCCGGGCAGGTCAGTTACAGGAAAAGTAGAAAAAACAAGTGCTACAATGCGACTATGCGGCTCAATAGCTACATAGTTTAGGTTCATGACTATGCAATGAATAACTTAAACTTTCTAAAAGACATCTTTCTCTAGCGAACTACCGAAATACAAGCAGTTTTCATTCAATCAGCCCAATTTTGGTCTTTCTTTATGAGGAATCATAGGGCTGGCTTAGTGGCACCAAATTAGACTGATCGATAAACTGGTGATAGGGTTATGGTAACTGGCTATAGAGTTACGGTAACTGTCTATAGGGTTACGGTAACCGGCTAGAGAGCTACGGTCACTGGCTATAGAGCTACGATAACTGGCTATAGAGTTACGGTAACTGTCTATAGAGCTACGGTAACTGGGTATAGAGTTATGGTTACGACAATCCTCTAAAATGTGCGACTTTCAGAAAGCTCATTAATCAAGAACACTCTAGAAGGTCAGGGTTACCAAAAATTGCATAACTTGAGTAGATAAAAAGTTAGTAAGTGTAGAAATTTCCTAAATACTTGCTCCAATCAAGATTTTCTCAATTTCAGGAAGTTCCCATTCATCGTCAGATCACGGCGAACACTTTGGGGAATCGTAAGAAATTCGCGCTTCTCGCAGTTTGTCTCTCCTATTCGATCTTTTGTTTTCTTTATCTTCTCGTCGTTCTTTTTCTTGTTTAAATTTTTTTCACATTTAAGAGCTTTCATCAATTTCATCAATTTCATCAATTTCACCCAAAAATTCTTTTTTACTAAAAAGTTTCTTTACAAAAGTTTGTTTACAAAAGTTTCTTTACAGAAGTTACGATAACTGGCTATAGAGTTACGGTAACTGTGGCTATAGGGTTACGGTAACTGTCTTTTCAAAAACCGAATCTCAGGGTTTAAACAATGTGCTACTTTTGTGTTTCATCGTTTCTTTTAGGGTTTTTCTTGTAATGTGCTGTAAATGAAGAACCTTTTACAATGCAGAATGGAAATTTCGATCGAAAATGGTTTATGTTAATAGAATTGTAAATAAATAAATGATGTAAATGACAAAAAGATTTCAAAAAATCATTTGCGAATTTTTAAAGGATTTCAAAAAGGAAAATGCTTGTATTCAGTTCAATGAAAGTTTCAAGTTTATAGCTGATGGTAACCAAGCTTCTACAACGATCCAACCATCTCCAAGTTTCTACAACGATCTAAAATTCGAAAAGTGATTCAAAAAACACCGAAACTTGGGAGCAAAAAGAAAGCTAGCCGAGCTGTCGATCGCAAAATCTTGATGACATCTCGAAATAATCCTCGCTTAAGACGTTGCGACATGGCTGGGATAACGTTGCTTTTTTCCCGACAAAAATGTCACCTGACATCGGACAATGCCGGCGCGCCAGGCCCAACGTGTTAACAGCCGCTGACATCCTTCGGGAAGTTTCTTGTCAGGATCCAGCTCTTTCCTGAAAGAGTTGGGAAAATGCTTGTATTCAGTTCAATGAAAGTTCCGGAAAATGCTTGTATTCAGCTCAAGTTTATTGCTGAGAAAATGTTTATTTATTTTATCTAAAATTACAGTAAATTTCATGGTGAAATAATCAGGGGAAATTGACGTTAAAGTGGGGTAAACTGAATCGGATGGCCGATGCCCGGATGCTGCGATGTGTGCCAGATGGCGCACGATTGTGCGCTCGCATTGATTGTGCGCTCGATTCTGCGCTCGCATTGATTGTGCGCTCGATTGTGCGCTTCATAAACGTTTCTATGCAAATTTTAGCTATTTTCTGTGTATAGTTAACTTTAGTAACTTTAATTTTAGCTAACCTAATAGCTAAACTGTCTGATCTCATAAACTAATCTATTCAAATAACCAACAGTTTTCTGTTCTGTACACTCTATCCAAAGTATGAACTATGAACTATGAACCTTCGAAGCCAGATATAGGTGCAGCTTTTCGGAGACCCTTCAGAAAGTCGCCATGGCCGACTGGATAAAAGCCTTGTCGCTTAGTCGGGAGGTCGTGGGTTCAATCCCGCTTGCTAGTTTACTAGTTGTTTTTTGCATCTGGCTTTTTTTTTAACATAAATTTTTTTTTTTTCCCTTTTTGGTCTTTTTTTTTGGGTTTTTTATGTTTTACTTCATCGGACATGGCGACTTTCCTAAACCTTTTCGAAAAGCTGCAGCTATATCTATCTGGCTTCGAAGAGTTCATAGGTGCGTGCTACTTTGGATAGAATGTACAGAACGAGAAAACATATTGCATATGACCTTTTAGATGACTTATTAGGCTTAGGGAAAATTAAGTTGCTAAAGTGGAGTGTATTGTTTGGATTAGATTGTTTCTATGAATCGATTTTAAATTTATTTTAGAAAAAAAAAAGAAATGATGGATGGTGGGTGATGTGGTTGAGTTTTGGTCTTGAAAGAGATATGCGAGTTTTGGGAATCGGATGGGATCCTTTTCTTTCTTTCTTTTTGCCTCAACCCTCAGAGACTCAATGCCCGAATGTGGCTCCCAGGGGGAAATGTTTCAAACCAAACAAAAGCCACACATTCACCCATTTTAAAAAGAAGCCCAAACACAGAGGGAAAGTTTCTCGATTCTCCTCATCTCACATCATCGCTTGCATATTTTCCCGTTTATTCTCTGAACTAACCATTGTATTTTTTTTGATTTCAATAAGAGATACTGAATTTTCTTTATTTCAACTTTATTTCAACTCTAATTGCAAAAGTTTCAGACCAGTTTCCATTCTCTAAAACCATTCCAATACTTTTATTATCCAAATCGAACCTCTTTCAGCTTTGCCTTGGTTTTTAGCTCTTTCTATTACCTCTTTCTACTTTCTATTAATCTAAAAACCTTTCCAAAGTTAATTCTTACTATCATATCTAACTTAAACTAAGTCTTTGTCCAAACTGGTACGAGCGCAGCTGCCGAAGAGTTCATAGGTGCCTCGATCCAAGAACCTTCCTACTATCAATGCCCATTCGCTCGTCTTGTTCCCTCTTAATTCTTGTCTGCCTATAGGATTACGTAATATCTGCTTATCAATCTAAGTACAGATATTACGGTAGCAATTGCGATTTTCTGTATCTGACAACTTGTGAGCCCTAGCTATACCAATTCTACTAGAAAAGGGTATTTGAAAGACTCCACCGAGACACGAGGGAGTAAATTCACTCGTCGATCCCTTTGTGGAGTACTCACGTGTGGAGTCGAAGCGATGCATCGAACCCTTCCCCATCCCACTCTGAAATATATCTGTCTTCTCCCCTTTCTCTTTCCACTTTTCACAAAGAGAAAAGCCGATCTTCTCGTCGGATTTCCGGGCCTCAATTGGGCATTTCGCTTAACGGCTTCAACCACCCCATCCATTGAGTTTCGAAAAGGGAAATAAGGGATTTATAGAAGAGGCCGAACTACGAAAACAATCACGATCGTTCACATCTTAAACCGGTTTTTAAAAATTGTTTTTCTCAACCATTTTTTCCAATGCTCAATCTCAAAGCATAACACAATGTACTTCACAAGTGATCCTTTCTGGCGTACTGTTTGTACATTTTGTTCTGGCGTACACAATTGTACACTTTGTACAATTAGCAAGGAGCAAAGAACTACAATATGAAGGATTCCCAACAACCCCTAGATTCTTCCAACCGGACTCTAGAGCCGATAAGCCAGGTCAATTAGGTTCTGGACACAGGAGGATTTTGTAAGAAGATCTCCAGCAAAGACAGGTTAGTTAGAGCCGGTAAACTAGAAAAAGTCAAGAGTTGGACAAGTTTTTGCTTCTAGTCAGCAAGAACAAAGCTAAGCCAGGACCGGAAAAGTTTTGAAACAATCCTGGAGAAACCCAGCTACTTGAGTTGTCCTCAGATTATTCACATATCTAGTTAGCCATTTAGCTTAAAGGAAAGCCGGAGTTGGACACACCGGTCCTTTTATGGGTTGGGGCTGGATTGGGATTCGAACCCGTGAACTCTCGCTTATCGGGCTTAACGTACAACCAATGAGCTACAGCGACATTCCATTGCCGCCAGGCTAAGGCTTTTCTCTGGTCAGAATTTGTTTCTGGTGACTCAAGAGTTTTCATGGGCAAAGTAAAGCCAGGCTAGGACAAGAGAACAATATTCTGGATCAGATCCTGAACAATATTCTGGATGAGAACTTGAACAATATTCTGGATCAGATCTTGAACAATCTTCTGGATCAGATCTTGAACAATATTCTGGATCAGATCTTGGACAATATTCTGGATCAGATCCTTGAACAATATTCTGGACCAAATCTTGAACAATACCATTTTCAGTTTCATTTCATCTTGTCCCCATATTACTCACCTAGTTATCTATTCAGTAAAAAGATGGATTTTGCATGGAGTGGATCCGAATTTTTCTCGAGAAGGCCCAAGGGAGCTCTTTGCATTGGAGATCTGAAGGAAAAGAAGGAAAAGATGGATCCCAAAAATCCAGAACCTTCAGAATGCAGACTATTCAATGCTTGTGTAAAAATGGATTTCAAAATCGTATCACTATCATCACTTTGTAGCGGTATTTTCGGCTCGACATTTCGGCTATTTTCGGCTTTCGGCTCAAATTCATACCTATATATGTAACAATTTCGATTCTTTTCCCTCTCTTTTACATGTTGACGTATTCCTCATTCTCATAGCCTTTAATTATTAACCTTTTCTTTCCCAGAATTTTCTCCCACTCTTTCTTTGATTTTCGTCTCTTTCTTTTTTCTTTTATTCTTTTATCTCATTTTTTGTGGTTTCTGAATTTGTTGGAGTGAAAACCGCTAAAAATGGGTGTCTGTGACTACAATTTTCATTGACTTTCAAATTTTTTTAATAGTTGAAATTGAAGTTTTTAAATATTTATTGGGTTTAGTCATAATTATTAATCTTTAGAAGTCTAACTTAATCAACGCAGCGACAGGCGGCGGCCCTGAGCCAGCGGATCGGCCCTGTCAGACAGGCGATTGGCCAAAGGCACAGGCTTCCTTTTTACTTAGAGTCTAACTCTAATAAGTTCAATTCTTATAAGAACAATAAGAACAATAATTGAACAATAATTGTTCAATAAGAACCTATTAGACCTGGTCAACCTGTTTTTGAATCCAAAAGAGAACATAAGAGGTCTAGTCCAGGTCTAGTCATAAGTATGGAAACTTTTCAAATGTTATTCTAAACTAAACTTGTTCTCTTTTGGATTCAAAAACAGATTGACCAGATCTAATAGGTACTTATTGAACAATTATTGTTTAATTATTGTTCTTATTGTTCTTATAAGAATTGAACTTATTAGAGTTAGACTTCTAAAGATTAATAAAGATTAAGAAGCTTACTAGAATAATTGTGCCTTTGGCTTTACAAATCCAGCCTGTCGCTGATCAAGGGCCAGATCCAGCCTGTCGCTGATCAAGGGCCAGATCCAGCCTGTCGCTGATCAAGGGCCAGATCCAGCCTGTCGCTGATCAAGGGCCAGATCCAGCCTGTCCCTGATCAAGGGCCAGATCCAGCCTGTCGCTGATCAAGTTCTCTGTCAAATGATCTAAATGCCAAATGATCTGCCATCAGTAATGTTTCTAGTTTCGACCTTTCTACAGAATTGAAAAATTGATGATTCTCTGAAATCTCTGCTAGCTCTTATTCAATAAACATTCTTTACCCGAGTGGATTCAGGAACTCTGCGTTTATGCAATAAGAGGGTTGGATTTGAAGTAGCTTCGTTAGTCAAATCCCTCCCTTTTTTCTTCATTTCTTCAGTGAATCGGATCTTTTTTACACAAATGAGACATTTTTGAGCACAACTATAAGACTTTCTTTCTCATTTTTCAATATCTAGCTATAATTGTGTTAGACTAAACAAAAGCGGTTTTTGAATCCAAAACAGAACTAAATCTTTGTCACAAAAGCTGATAGCTTGAGCTGACTTTAGATCCACCAAGAACCTTCCTAACTTTTACCAATGATCTTTTACCAATCCCATTCTCCATTTTGTCTAGGCTTTTCTAGACTCTTAATATTCTTGATTTATTTCCCTTTCTGTTAAATTCTTGTCTTGTTCCTATAGAGATGTTGCTTGGCGATTTGACGATGATTTGACGCTTTGTTCAACAAGCATTTTCTCTTTTTTGAGAATGTTTAGAGATTTAGATTTTCGTAAAATTCAATATTTTTTAAGGTCAGTCAATTCTTTTAAACAAAAGTGCAAAAACAGAATAAGCTATTCTTTTTTTGTAAGCCTAAGTTTTAAAATCTAATTAGCTTGGCGAAGTGCTTAGCAAACAATTTTAAGTTATCTTTTTAAAGTTCTAAACCAATTCTCTGTATTTAAGCTAATTTTGAGCCTTTTTTTTGATTAAAGGTGAAAAAAAATATTGATAGCCACTCTGAGCCTCTTAGCTTGCTTTATCAGCCTCTTAGCTTGCTTTATTAGCCTCTTAGCTTATTGTGGCTATCAATATCGCCTTTTTTTGATTAAAGGTGAGCTACAGCTTTTAAAAAAAGAACATTTCAGTGATCACATTTCAGTAGGATCAATAATCCGATAAATAATTGTGAGCTTTGTTTTTAAATTCTAAATCTATCTTTTATGGGTCTCTGGTTGAATTTGAGGGAAAAACTAGATGCGCATTTTCGGATTTTCGACGCGATGGGAGAAAAGACGAGATGGGGGTGCGCGTTTGATTCGATTTGGGGAGATGGTGGGGAGGACGCGGCACAATCAACGCATCGGGGAAAAGGAAAAGGGACGAAATCTCGAAGGAGACACAAAGTCACCGATTTACATTCATTCATAAAAAAGACTTTGAGCAACAGGCGCTGTCGTCAAGCTGTCCAGAAAGTCTTTTCGTTTCTTTTCGTACTTCTATTGAAAAATAACAAATTCACCAATTAAATTACGATTTTTTTCATTAGAAAGGTCAATTATTTTTCTGCAAAATAAGATTAAAACGGGTTTTAAATGCCTTATGTCTGTGATCTATTTAATATTTTAACGCTTACCAATATATTAATATTCGGTTGATGGAAAAGTCCTTTCCTATTTTTTGGGAGAGTACTTTAAATTTGTCCAATTTGGACGTTTTATAGCTCATCCTAGAGCTGAATTCAAGACGGATCGATTAGTAAAAACCGTTTTGAGATATCTTTTTTCTAAAAGTTTTTACAGCTATTTTAGTAAAGGGCGGCAGAGCCAAAAAACCAAAAAATGGCTGTTTTCACGTTTCGTTAGTTTTCCGTGCAGAAACCTAGGCTAAAAACATGTGTTTCGTGATCAGCGTCAAAAATAACCCCTAGACACGCATTTTCAGAATCTTAGCAAAAAATTTTTGAAAAATATTGTCACCGGTGGAAGTCGAACCAGCAACCCTCAGATCAATCGCATTTCCGCCGCTTTTCGCGATTTTCTTTCGTTTTTCCCCTTTTTTTTTCTTATACCCTAAAATTTATCATAATAACAAAAAAGAGAAAACAAATAACAAACAAAAAAAAACAAAAAGATCTTCAAGATCTCAATTTTCTCAACTTCTTAAACATCTCAAACAACTTCAGAAATCATTCTCATATTTTTTTTCCTTTCGGCGAAATGATTGGGATTTCAGTGAGGCGACTTCGTTAGCGATTCTTTTCAATCGGTTACCCTTTTCTTTTTCTTTGAAATTTCGCTCAAGTCAAAAAATTTCTTTCACAGATTGGGAAAAAAAGAGAATTCTTGAAGATGACACCACACTTGCTTTTGAAATTTTTCGGATTTGGAAAAGAAAAAGACTTGAATTCTTACTTCAAGAATTCAAGTCTTGAATTTAAGTCTTGAAAATTGTCTTGAAGTCTTGAAAATTGAGAATTCAAATTCGAGTCTGTTCCTTGTCCATTCCGAGTTTGTTTCTTTTCCATTTCGAGTCTGTTTCTTTTCCAAGTCCATTTACTTCAAGCCTATCGTTCTATTTGATTTAAACTTTCGTTCTATTTGCTTAAATATTTCTAAATAGAATCCCAAATTTCTCAACTATCTATGCTCTTTCAAGAAACGTCAAAAAGTCAAAAAGTCAGAAAGTTTTTTGTATTGCGTAAAGTTTTGAGCAAAAAAAACGCAAAAACGCGAATTGCGTGTTCTTGAAAACGAGACATTCCCGTTTAGGAATGCAAAACAAAAAAGAGGGAAAAAAGGATCTTTTGGAATTCGGAAGAAGTTACTCAACCATTTAAAAGAATTTGATCGAATCGAAGTAAATTCTGAGCCTCTTAGCTTGCTTTGTCAGCCTCTTAGCTTGCTTTATCAGCATCTTAGCTTGCCTTATCAGCCTCTTAGCTTATTGTGGCTATCAATATCGCTAAGTTGATTCAAATCATTCTTGCCAATTCACCTATAAAAGTTGGCTATTGGTTAGCTAACATACAGGAAAAATGGCTCAAGATTTTGAGATTTTTGAGAGATTTTGTTCGAAGATACAACAAACAGACCCCGCCAATCGCTTCCCCGACCCTTGGTACGAACTTTTGGCTTCATATCTCATCTGAGCAATGTTTACTGAAAAAAAAGAAATTCCTTTGTAAGCGGGATGTTCTTTGTGTGGCAGCGTAATCGCTCGCCGTCTGGCGCAGGGCTTTTTCATAAGACAGACCCTACCCCCCTCCTGCCCAAACTATCCGTCGTGGTCCCATTGGCGCTGAACGCCGACCGCATGAATCAGCTGCTCCGTTGCTCCGCGCCGTCGCCCACCCAGCGCCCCCGGCGGCCCTGGTCCCCCGTGTCGGAGCCCCTTCAGCGCGAAACCCTATGGGACATGATTCACCCTACCGGGGAAGGAAACTAACTGGGAGTGCCCGTGCAATATTGCCGGGGCAAAAATACAGACAGGGCTGCGGTGTATGGTTATTTTCTCCCTATTACCCTATGAACAACGGTATCCAGGATGCTTTTAGCTGGTGGTACTTTGTACTCGATTAGAAGCACTCTCCCTCTGGCGCAGTCAACTCGTCATTTGGCAGGTGCACTAGGAGAGTTGTGTTTCGAGCACAAAGTACGCATCAATTAACAACTTAGAACTCAAAAATCAATGCAATGTCTAGTAAACAAGAAATCTCATAAGCTTTTCGCAAAAAAGAGATCTCTTTTCTATAGTGAATCTCCGCCTAATGAGCATCTACATGGAAAAGGAGAAAAAGCCGAGATCCCTGCTATTTTTTATAATTCTCTATTTTGTTCTTTCCTTTTTCCATTCTCATTGAGCATTTATTTTGATTCATTTCTCATATTATTAATTGCTTCTGTCCAAGCACCCGTATTTTCTCCTTTTCCTGAGATTCCCGCATTGAATCGTGAGAATTTCTGAAGAAATTTTTGAGATTTAATTCTATTTGAATCTTTTTATTAAGCAATGATTCGATTGTTCAAGTTTTGTATTATTTTGTACTGTTTTGTATTGTTTTGTACTGTTTTGTACTGTTTTGTACTGTTTTGTACTGTTAAGCTCAATGTCAAGCTCTTTTATCAATGCTTAAGCTTTATTCAATAAAATCAAAACTTTTTCTTTTTCTTTCCATTTCATTTTCTATATAATATGCACCTTTGTCTTTTCTTTTTTGATTGGCCAATAACCAATAAGCGCTCTTTGGCCCGCCCCTCACAAAGCTTTCTTTTCCTTAACACCTTTTTGTGTGTTAAAAGAGGAAAGCTTTAAACTTTGCTTTAAAGAACAAAGAAGAAGTTGAAGAAAAGTTGAAGAAATTTTGTTGAAGTTGAAATTGAAGAAAATTTTGTGAAGATTTTACTGATAAAAACTTTGTTTAGCATTTTTGAATTGATAAAAAAGTAGACTAATGATTGATTACTGAATTACTAGATTGAGAATTTAAACTTAAAGCAAAAGAACTTTCATTGACTTCAATAACATGACTTAAAGCAAAACATTATCCTGTTCAACACTCAAAGCTAAACTTAGCTTTTTGTGGGTGACACAGAAAATGTAAAGTGGACAAAGTTCAATAAATGAGTAAGAGCTCAAAGAGAAATGAAAGCTCAAAGAGAAAATGAAAGAGGTGACCACTCGATGATATTTGAGATGGGGAAGTGGAAGGGTAGGCCATAGATTAACAAGAGATAAAAAGAAGTGGAGGAAGTTATTGACAAAACATGAAAAAGTACAAACGAGAATGGAATGAAGGGGAAAGTAGGATTTCGACATTTCTGGCTCATTCTGGCTCATTCTTTGATCATCACTTCTTTAATTTTCTTCAATTTCTTTGTTTCAGCTGAATACTTAAATGATTTTAAGGCTTATTTTAATTAATTTAAATTTTAAAGCCTATTTCTTTGCTCAATCGGGGTGGGACAAATGCTACCTTTTTTGCGCACCTGGACATTTGCGCACCTTTTTTTTGCTGGAAAAGGCCTTAGGAAAGGTCGTAGAGCTTCAAAAATGTTTTCATAGAAGGGTATCGTATGCGTAGATTCCGAATTTCGACAAATCAGACCTCGCTGACACGTCAAATTTGGGCTAAAAGGCAAAAACTACGCAACTTCCCGCTTTTCCGCAGTTTTTGCCTTTTAGCCCAAATTTGACGTGTCAGTGAGGTCTGATTTGTCGAAATTCGGAATCTAGGCATACGATTCCCTTATATGGAAATATTTTCGAAATATTCTCGAAGCTCTACGGCCTTGCCTAAGGCCTTTTCCAGCAAAAAAAAGGTGCGCAAATGTCCCACCCCCATCGTGCCGCATAGCATTTTACATAATACATTGATTCTAATACATTGATTCTAATAAGCATTGTAATCAAATCGATATCCATTTGTGTCCATTTCCTCAATAGGATTTGATGTCGATGAAGAAATCGGAGCTGACATCATTACGGTTGAGATTGGTGATTCGATTTTTGGCGTTGAACCGCGAAGATCGTCATATGGTCTGGGAAAGATTTTTGTTGTTTTTTTTGTTGTTTTTCGGGGGTGGGACAAATGCGACCTTTTTTTTGCGCACCTGGACATTTGCGCACCTTTTTTTGCTGGAAGAGGCCTTAGGAAAGGTCGTAGAGCTTCAAAAATGTTTTCATAGAAGGGAATCGTATGCGTAGATTCCGAATTTCGACAAATCACACCTCGCTGACACGTCAAATTTGGGCTAAAAAGGCAAAAACTGCGGAAAAGCGTTAAGTTGCGTAGTTTTTGCCTTTTAGCTCAAATTTAACGTGTCAGCGAGGTCTGATTTGCTTTGATTTGTCGAAATTCGGAATCTACGCATACGATTCCCCAGTATGGAAACATTTTCGAAGCTCTACGACCTTTCCTAAGACCTTTTCCAGCAAAAAAAAGGTGCGCAAAAGTCCAGGTGCGCAAAAAAAGGTCGCATTTGTCCCACCCCCGCTCAATCTAAACTTTTGAGGAAAAATGAAACGTTCAAAAGTTTTTACACCTTCAAAATGAATTGCCAACTTCGTTACAGCTAACAACTTCATTTTCATTTCCAAATTTGCATTAAAAGCCTTTAACAATAGTTTATCTTTCTCGAAATTTGCATTTAATTAAAAAATTAAACATTTTATTTACTTTTATGGCTTTTTAAAGGCTTAGGCTTACTTTTATGGCTTTTAACTGAACTGAATTGTGTCAATTTTTAAAAACAAACTTTTTTTCTTGACTTCTATTCAGATTTCACATCTTTCTACGCATCAAAATTCTTTATTGAGTTCATTTTCATTCACTTTTATTTCATATTTCGAGTTGTGACCGATTTAAATCAAAATCTCCGCCTTTTCAGATCACTTCAATGCTGAGCAGCTATTGATTCTTCAGCTCTTGATCGCCTTGATTCTCTCAGCTCTTGATCGCCTCAACTTCTCATCCTTGAGCTTACTTTGATCGATATAAGGTAACCAATTTAAACTCTTATCCCATTAAAATTAAAGCTACAAAGATACAGACAAACAAAATTTTTATCTTATTTGATTTTGGTTTAAAAAAATGAAATTTTTCAGTCTTTCATTGCCTTCCCATTGCTCTTTGTAGGCAAAATTATTCACTAATCAATACAGTTTTTCAATAGATCATTTGAGATATTACTATAAAATTTGAATCGTCTATAGTTGGTGTTAGTTAACTTTGATTAATTAGAGGTCTTGGGGTGCCAAGAATAGAGGCTAACATGGGGCAATGGGAAAGGCAAAAGAGGCCATCTTTTTAGAAATCGAAGAAAAAGAAGAAGGAAAAGAAGAAGACCCGCCTCTTTCTTGAAAAATAAAAAGAAATCGACTTCTTGTGACTGAAAGGAGAAGGAAGGCTTTCCTTTCGATCTGACCTCGTCCAATTCTTTGCCAAGAAGAGAAATCACGTCAGAATACCCTTGGGACGACTTTCACTGAAGAATCTCAGTCTCATCTCAATCAAATTTCATTGATTTCTTTTGTTTTCAATTCGAAAGATGGGCTTTAACGTGCCGATAATCAATCGCGATTCAACCGCTGTAGCCGCTTCATGCAGACAATGGTCTCAAATACCAGAGAATCAAAAGAAAATGGTGCTAGTAATCGTGTCCATTGCTCTACTGTTGGACAACATGTTGTACATGGTCATTGTGCCAATTATTCCTAAATATCTACGAGATATTCACGCATACGATGTGGAATTCGTTGGATATCATAATGAGACGACCAAGTTGGCGAATGGATCGATTTTGATAAAGAGCACTGTGAGTTTTCATATTGAATTCGAGATCTAGATTTAGATCTAGAGATCTAGATTTAGTTCGAGAACTAGATCTAGATTTAAATCTAGTTCTAGATCTAGATTTAGATCTAGAGATCTAGATTTAGTTCTAGAACTAGATCTAGATTTAAATCTAGTTCTAGATCTAGATTTAGATCTAGAGATCTAGATCTAGTTCTAGATCTAGTTCTAGATCTATACTTAGATCTAGTTCTAGATCTAGATTTAGATCTAGAGATCTAGGTTTAAATCTAGTTCTAGATCTATATTGAGATCTAGTTCTAGATCTATATTTAAATCTATTTCTAAATCTAGATTTAGCTTTAGTTCTAGATCTAGATTTAGATCTAGTTCTAGATCTAGATCAAAATTAGTTTTAAAAGTAGAATATTGCATATTGTAAGTAGTAAATAATGCATATTTGCAATTCTAGGGTGGTCACATCGAATATATGGACGAAGATCTGCAACTCGGTTGGCTTTTTGCATCAAAAGCCTTGCTACAGATTTTCATCAATCCATTCTCCGGATATATCATTGATCGGATTGGATATGAGGTGGGAAATGAATACGAAAATATTTCAATCAATTAGATTTAGATCCCAATGATTATCGGTTTAACAACAATGTTCTCTTCAACAGCGATTTTCGCTCTCGGTCGATCATACGGAGTGCTATTTTTCGCTCGATCTTTACAGGTTTTGTTTTGTAAAAAAAACTCCCGAAATTTGCGAACTCTTGGAATCAATTCTTGAGAGGAAAAGCACCCCTTTTTTGATGTTTTGGACGATGATTGGACTTTCTTTTCTTTTTGGGGAGGATGGGTTGAGTGGGGTTGTTTAGCGGAGACTTCTTCTTTCTTCTTTCTTCTTTGGAGTTGTTTCTTTGAGATCCCCAAGGGAATACCGATACGGGATACAAAGAATTGATACTCTACACACTTTTAAACATTCTACTTTCAAAACTAATCTTGATCTAGATCTAGAACTAGATTTAAATCTAGATCTAGAACTAGATCTAAATCTAGATCTAGAACTAGATCTAGAACTAGATTTAAATCTAGATCTAGAACTAGATTTAAATCTAGATCTAGAACTAGATCTAAATCTAGATCTAGAACTAGATCTAAATCTAGATCTAGAACTGATCTAGACAGATTTATCTAGATCAGAACCGATCTGAACTAGATTTAAATCTAGATCTAGAACTAGATCTAGAACTAGATTTAAATCTAGGGTTGAGTGGGGTTGTTTAGCGGAGACTTCTTCTTTCTTCTTTGGAGTTGTTTCTTTGAGATCCCCAAGGGAATATCGATACGGGATACAAAGAATTGATACTCTACACACTCTTAAACATTCACATAAGAAAAAGAAAGATAAAAAGAAATGGAGAAAGTTTGCTGTAAAAGATTTAAGTGTATGGGGAAGTGATCGATTGCTGACAAGTATTAGTGCTAATGATTGAAGAGATGGGACTTGTTTTATCCCTGATATGGCTGTCTGTTGGAGTTGAAAATTTTAGTATTTTCAACTCCAACATAAATCAACTTTTATCCATCACCTTTTATAACACCTTGTCTAACCAATTTAACTCTCAAAGTAGATACTCTCAATTGGGGGGCATTCAACTCTCCTTAAAGCCCCAATCCATACTGTTTTATAGACTTTATCCAATCTTAGATCAAGAAACACTTCCGCAAAATGCCATTTTTGCAATTTTTGCCATTTTAGTGCATCAGAAATGGAAGGAAAGGAAGGAGGATGGTATCCTCGTGGGAAAGAAGCTCCTCTCCCTTCCTTTCTTTCTCCTCTTTCACCCCATTCACCCATCCTCCTTTTTTCCACGATGCATTCAATTAGGACCCCGGCCTCTAAAGAAATCCATCTCAATTCAATGCCCATCAAGCCAAAAATCCCGTTAGTCACCAAGTGGTCAAAGAAATCTCGAAATCAGAAACAATAGAGGCATTGATAGACATTGAAAGACATTGAAAGACATTGTTAGACATTGATAGACATTGATAGACATTGATAGGCATTGACATCTTAGCTTGATAGAAAGCTAAGATGTAAACAAGAATATCTATAAAGATCCACCAAGCAAATGTAGAAAAAGACTTATAGAAATGAAATAGAAATGAAATCTCCTGTTGTTTAGGGATTCGGCTCGGCGTTTGCGGACACATCCGGCTTGGCAATGATCGCTGATCGATTTTGTGAGGAAGGCGAGAGATCGGCGGCTCTTGGAATCGCGCTCGCTTTCATTTCTTTTGGATGTCTGGTAAGGGATCTTAAAGATATTGTAGAGCGATCAAAAAATGCAAGCAGGCTATTGAGAACTAATCTGAGCATTAGCAGGAACTGATATCATCCATTGATGAGCTCAAATAATGATGCAACTACTCGAGAATTTTATTGCTAAAACTCTTTTAGGTTGCCCCACCATTTGGCTCAGTGCTGTACTCGGTGGCGGGTAAGCCAGTGCCATTCCTCGTGCTCGCTTTCGTTTGTCTTGCCGACGCGTTTGCCGTCTTTTTCGTCATTCAACCTAAAGAGCCTAGAGCCATCAATAAATCGACTGGAGAGAAATTACAAGGTAAACCAAAATATCAAAGAATATCCATCTATACAACTTTTTCAGGCACTCCAATGTGGCGACTCTTCATGGATCCGATGATCGCCGTCTGTTCTGGAGCGCTTATCATGGCGAATGTCTCACTGGCTTTTCTTGAGCCGACAATAACCAATTGGATGGATGAGGTGCGGATTGTTTCGAGTGGTTTAAGACTAGTAAGACTGAAGGTTTAAGACTGATCAGCCAATCGATCATTCATTGCTCAATTATGCAACTTTTCAGAAGTCCCAACTCAAGCTAATAACTTGATTGTCAATTCTAATTGCCTACTTTCCAGACAATGCCCGACACTCCGGATTGGCTAGTGGGAATGATCTGGCTTCCCCCATTCATCCCTCATGTTATTGGTGTTTATGTGACGGTGAAGCTATTGGCTCGATTCCCCGCCTATCCGTGGGCGATAGCTGGCATTGGGTTAGCGATGGAGGGAATCGCATGTCTAGCTGTGCCCTTCACAAAAACCGTCACTCAAGTAAATCTTAGTAAAACTAGGCTTAATCAAAAGATCTTTAGCTGATGCTACCACTGTCAGTGGTATGCTTTGGGATTGCCTTGATCGACACATCAATTTTGCCACTGCTAGGTTTCTTGGTGGACACGAGGCATGTCTCTGTTTATGGATCGGTGAGTCAATGATGAAAAGAGCTTTTTGATCGTAAAGAATACAAAAAACAGAATGAAGTAGTATTGTAAGAATAGCTCTATGAACATGTTCTATATAAACCGATACTTGAGCTATCTAATTGTAAGATGTTTTGAATTCTTGGGTAATTCCAATCCAATTTTCACTTTTGTAAGAATATTTTAAGAATACTATGAAATTGTTCTATGTAAAGCGTCTTTGAGAAAGACTATCAGATTTTCACTTTCCTAACATTGAAAATGAGTCTATTTGTTTAGTATGAAGTCTGTAACTAAATGATTAAAGGGAATGAAAGGATGATAAGATGGAAGATAAGATGGAAGATAAGATGGAAGATAAGATGGAAGATAAGATGGATGATAAGATAGATGATAAGATAGATGATAAGATTGATGATAAGATGGATGATAAGATGGATGATAAGATGGATGATAAGATGGATGATAAGATGGATGATAAGATGGATGATAAGATGGATGATAAGATAGATGATAAGATTGATGATAAGATGGATGATAAGATGGATGATAAAGTTGTATGATAAAGTTTATAAACTCTATAAAGCATTTTCTAGGTGTACGCAATCGCGGACATCTCTTACTCTCTTGCCTATGCTTTTGGTCCAATCATCGCCGGATGGATCGTCTCAAATATGGGCTTTGTCACTCTCAATATCATCATTTTTGTCACAAATGTCGGCTATTCTCCGATATTGACAATGTTGCGTAAAGTGCATGGATTTGAGCAGATAGCGCATCGAAATGAAGTGATGCACGAGAAAGATGGAGAATATGGGAAAATCGATGGCGAGAATATCCCAATCGAGACGATGAGTGGTGGACAGACAATGGCCATCAATCAACACTATCAGCCAGAATATGGTGGAGTGCAACAGAATGGATTTTCGGAAAAGAGCCAACCGTTGGCCTACGATCCACTCAATCCACAATGGTAGTGATCGACTGATCTAGTGATCGGCTAAGCGATCTTTTATCTTTTAGCTCTTCTAGTTGATTATCTAGAAAGCTTATGATAGTATTTATGAAAAGTTATGCCTATTTTTGTAATTCAATTGCATGGAAACGGTAGACCAGAGAAATTTAAACAATAAATAACAACGATTTAAATCTCTAAACCAGTACTTATGCTAAAATTATTGATCTATCAATTTTTAGCATTTTCATAACCGATACTTGAGCTATCTAATTCTTGAGCTATCTAATTCTTGAGCTATCTAATTCTTGAGCTAATCTAAAGCTACTTGAGCTATCTAATTCTAAGATGTTTTGAATTCTTGGGTAATTTAAATTTAACTTTAAATTTAATCCAATTTAACTTTAATTTTTGTACAAAGTTTACCATTAAATGCCACAGTGTAAGGTTTTTTCAAGACAAAGCAAGGCCAGACAAGACCAGAGAAGGCCATGTGATAAAGTAAAGTAAAGCTTTTCGGAAAAAGGTAAAACATATTGGTGCATAGGGGATTGAACCCCTCGCCCTTTCCGAACCCTTGACCCTTTCCGAGAAGACCCTCTAACCACTGAGCTATTCGGTAGCTGTTTCCTAGAGAAGGAAATACCCGGCCAGGCAGAGTTAACTCCCTCTGGAATAAGGGAGGTCAAGGGCGTTGTGGTGTAATGGTTACTACAATTACCCGGTAAGCGAAAGGTCGTGGGTTCGACTCCCGGCGTCGCGCAATTTTTTGATCTTCCCTAGTTCCAACTGGCAGGACCAGACAAAGTCAAGCAAGGACCAGGCTAAAAGCCTAGGATCTGCCTTCTGGCGGCCTTTGCAGGCCAGATATGCAATAAAGCCAAGATCTGCCTTTCTGCCTAACAACAGTGAGATCTGGCTACCGTTTCCCTTCATTCGAATCTCTTTCTTATACTCTTGTCCGGTGCCATGTCGTGTATGATTTTCTCTATTTTCCAATTCCAGTTCAACTTTTTCTAGTCGCTAATTTCTCCAAAGATTTTCCTATTTCAGGGCCAAGACCATCAATTTTCGCCTAGTAATTTATTAATCTTTTCTCTATTTTTTTTTGACTTGAAAGCAATAATTTTATTTGTCTTCTCCCTGGGTTCACCTCTCTTCAGTTTTCTTCCTTGCTTAAGTTTAATGATAGATTTGCTAAGTAGTGTAATTTATTTTGTCAATTAAATAAAAATTTTATTTGCAAAACAAAAGCAATTCAAAATCCCACTCAATTCACACATAAAATAAAGAAAATTCGAAAATTTATGGTTAAATTATGAAATTTTCAGCTTGAGAGATGGTGGAAACGATGGAAAACGGTGGAGGGGAAGCGGATTGTGACGGGGGATGGTATGAGGTGAGGAGGAAGGGGAGGAAGGGGAAGGGGAAGGGAAGTAAGAGGAAGGGAAGTAAGAGAAAGAGGAAGAGAAGTAAGAGAAAGGGGAAGGGAAGTAAGAGAACTTTAGAGGATCAAGCATCAAAGTTACTAGCTGAATAGCTGAATATCTCAATGAGTAATGTCTTATTGTTAGTGGATATTGATAAATTGCATTGGCAAGCATTACAGACAAACAAAAAGGTGAATTTTATGCAAAAAATTTTATGCTTTGGGTTCCAGGGCAATCTAGTTATTCTCGCTAATCAATCAAGCCCCATCAATTCTGCTGTCCTTGTTAATCCTACTTGCAAAATCCTTTTTGACAGCCATCAGTGTTCTCACTTTAACCAAATCCATGTATGGAGAAGCAAAATTTCGTAGACGTTTTACAATTAGATCTTACAAATAGACTTGACTATCAAAAGCTTGTCGATAAGAGGCTTAACGATATCGAAATCTCAATAAGTTTTCCAAAATCTTTAAAAATTGTAAAACCTAGGTCTGGGATATCGACAGTCGTATTCAGCGTATCGAATCACTCCGAAAAAAGCCTCAGTTAAAAGGATTTAACAGAGGATCAACTAAAGTTTCACCATTACCGATAAGCTTATCAAGAAAACTTGTCAAGATCTCGATCTCAATACTTTGCGCAACTAGGTCTTTGGCGCACCTCACCATAACTTTCTTCTAAATGGGTCAATCTTTATGATTTTGGTGTCATTTCGTTGCACTTGTTGAGATCTACAAAATGACACCAAAATCATAATGATTGACCCATTTAGAAGAAAGTTATGGCGAGTTGCGCACCTAGTTGCGTTGACCTAGTTGCGCGAAAAATTTGGCGCAAAGTAGCCATCCTCTTTGATATCAATAATTCTCAAAGATTATAATAATAGAGATCTCGAAAGTGTAACAGTTTTCCCTTAGAAATGACAAGTTTTACTTATCTATTAAACTTGAGTCTTTTTTAAAAGTACAGAATGTTTTGGAGCTCTAATATAACATTATTTTCTATCGGATAAGCTAGATCTCCTTTCGAAATTCGAAATCCCACCATTTCCCAGTAAAATAATCTGGGTCTTTCTTCTGTCTTTAAAAAGAATCGTTAAATTCATTGAAATTTCATTCATTGAATCGAAAGTCTGAAATCAAAGACCAATTCGAATCAATTGAAACCAATTAACACATTTGGGTTGAAAGAGAAAAGATTGCTGGCTTTGATTTCACTCACCAATCGAGATTCACCCTAAAGAAGCCAAGAAAAAGCATTGCGGAGCGCCAAATTTGTTAGTGAAGAAGCTCTCGAAGAAATTGTCTCCTCTCTTCCATTTAAGAAAGGGGATTCTCTCAAAAAAAAAGAGGTCATTCTATTCCTTGTTTCCCGCATTGTCCTTCCTTCAACACAAATTGTTGTGTCCAATTTTGGAGGAGAGTCCATCGTCTTCATTCCCTTCATTCCCCTCATTTTCTTCTTCTCCACATCACTCTCAATGCTCAGAAATGGTCAAAGCCGGGCTGGCTTTTCGCCTTTGTCATTCATTTATTTCTGACGCTTCTGGGTATTCAACTAGACGAGCAAAATCTCTGTTTAGGGTTTGTTACTGGCTTTAGAGGTTTTGTCTTAATCTTTTCGAGTTCTCAATCTTTTCGAGTTCTTAATCTTTTCGAGTTCTTAATCTTTTCGAGGTCTCAATCGTATACTTTATCAACACAATAACCAACAACAGAAGTAGATTCTAAAAACGATTTGTCAATAATACTAGTGAGAATCGGTGCTTTAAGAATCACTCAATTGTTCAGACTCCACTCCCATCACCTCCCGTTCCTTCACTCGATCATTCACTCGATCGATATCTCGAGTATGCAGCTGTAGTTGCAGCGGGTACTGGCGCAAGTATGGCACCAACAAATCAAGCAGTTAACAAGTGAGTCACAGAGAAATTAAAAGCCATGCTAGGATCTGCCTTCTGGCGGCCTTTGTAGGCCAGATATGCAATAAAGCCAAGCCAAGATCTGCCTTTCTGCCTAACAACAGTGAGATCTGGCTACCGTTTCCCTTCATTCGAATCTCTTTCTTATACTCTTGTCCGGTGCCATGTCGTGTATGATTTTCTCTATTTTCCAATTCCAGTTCAATAAAGCCTTCGAATATTCTCAACTTCTCTACACTAATACAATTTCAGATTTCGATCTAACGGTCAGCCATATCAAAACGCGGTGATCGAGTTGGGAAAGAAAAACATCAATTGGGTGTGTTCGTTTTTGAATTTTACAAATCATTTTTACAGATAACCCCAATTTGGCTCTCGGAGATGTACCTAAAGATTCGAGCTCCACTCCCCATCAACACAAATCCTGCTTATATCTTTCCAAAGCAACAATTCGATGGCCTAGATGATCAGCTAAAGTACAACAAAACCAATTGCCTTTCTATAGAGTTTTAGGTACTCAGCTTTATTGACTCGTGGCATCATGGATTTTCGAGAATTGATATTAAAGTAAGAGTGCAGAAAAAGAAATAAAGAATACTCAGCTGATTTTCAGAAAAGAAATCGATCGTGAGCTTTCAACAGGTCGGGAAAAGATTCGAATGTGTATGGAGCAATATGATCGAGTGCTTTCATCGTATCGAATGCCTGTGAGAGGAGAAGATCAACAGGTTTAAAGCTTAGCAATTCGATTCAAAATTCGATTTATGAACAAGCTAAATCAGTTTGGCATTCAGATCCGCAAGACCTCGAGTAACAACGAGCATATTCTTGTGATGTGCAACAATCAGGTGAATATTGGAAATTGATTTGGAAACAGGCTCTTCAGAAATAGCGTAAGCTGTTCAGGAATAGCATAAGCTCTTCAGAAATAGCTCAAGAATTCATAGTTTCTTATAAAAGCTGGATATCGAATGAAAGCGTAAAAACAAATGCAGTGCCAACAATCACCGATTCAGACCTTCACCATTCCAGTCCGGCAAAAGGGAGAACTCCTATCGACAGCCTCCATTGTCAAGCTATTCAATCAGGTAAAACATACAGATTAAATACTAATTATGTTAGTAATTCAATAAAAATGAACAACTTGGCCATATCCAATAATATCCAGGTGGTCACTAGAGCCAGCCATCGGCCACCGCAAATCGTCGTCCCTATGGGCGCTTCAACAGCCGGCGATCGCGATATTGGAGGGGAATTCTGGGAGAAAATGTTGCCACGTAATTATTTTCAATATAACAAAATTTCCTTAAGAATTTAACAACATAAAAACGTTTTCTAAACATAAAAATCTTTTTTTAGAAAACGAGAAATCGTTGTCCGCCGTTCAGCAAGCTCTCTTCGTAGTCTGTCTCGACATTGACCATAAAAATGGACTCATGGGAGACTCAAAAGTAATATAAAATTTGTTAAATTGCAAAAATTTACATATTTAATTCAAAATTCCTCCTATTCCCCAATTACAGGAAGATGAATTGATTGCTCGGGGCTATCATCTTTTGCATGGGTTTGGTTCTCAAAATTTCGGTTTAAATCGTTGGTTTGATGCCACGATACAGGTAAAGATTATATAAATTGTTATAAGAATCAATTTAATATTAGCTTATTAGGTGGTAGTGTCGTCAAAAGGTTGGAATGGTCTTTGCATTGAACACTCGGTCGCTGAGGGGATCGTTATCGTCAAAATGGTCGAACACGCGTTGAGCTTTGCGAAAGAGAATATTGGAAAGAAATTGGTATTATTGAGCTCAATATTTGGAGCTCAATATTAAGTTGAATTTTTAGATTAGTCCAGAAAACGGGGCGCCACTGAGCGCAACGACACTCTCGTGGTCGATCGGGAATGAGGAAAGGGAGCTTCTCGAGAAACAAGTGCAGATATTCGATCGGTTGGTTTAATGACAAGAACAAGGCAATTCTCAATTCTAGTTTATCATCCAATATCGATCTCGAGGTGTTGATCTTTGAGGATTTCGGGCGAGAGTTCGCTAAATCGAAAGGAGTCTCACCGGATGGATTCGCTCAATTGGCTATGCAATTAGCGCATTATAAGTATGATGAGTTATATGAAAATCCGATTTCATATGAAAATAGGCAAATAAAGAACGTATTTACAAGTTTAGACTTCACGGGCACCTCGTTTCAACCTATGAATCGGCTACGCATCGACGCTTCGGTCAGTGTTTCTAAGATAGCGTTAACAATTTTAATTAGCTTTAACAATTATTTTCAAAGTCTAATGTTTTAACAATTTTAAATTTCAGCTTCCGGCAGGGTAGACAACATTCGAGCGAATACACCCGAAGCATTAGCCTGGGTGACATCGATGGGGAATCCGAGGAGTGATAAGGTCTGGAACTGTCATTGAGCATTGGGAGATAAAAAGTATTAATAGATCTAATATCATAGCTATCTTTAAGCTCAAAATATTACTCTAGATTTCTAATACGGACTATCATTCAACATTTAGCCTCAAAGATTGTCCCTTTTCCGGAGAGCAGCAGAAAAACAAGCGAAAGTGACCGTTGAGGTTAGCTTTTTTAGCTCATTTGAAGCGAAAGCTCATTTGAAACTGTAAATTTTAAAACTTTATTTATTTCAGAATGTCACTGGTTACGGGATTGACAATCATTTGTGCGCTCTGTGGGTTCAAGCGCGGGAGCAGAACCAAAACGGGGATCTCCCAGAGATTTTCAAAGATCCGATGTGGGACGAATTGATGAGATTCCCATTGAGCACGAGTCAGGTGAGAGATGATGAAAGTTGACTTGCGAGCAATTTTGACACTTCACCTTTCAAGAACTTCAATAACATTTTGAAGTATTGTGTTGGTGAATAAGTCTTTTCGTTTCCGTTTTGTAACGGTCCAGAAGATGAGCCTTGCTTTCGTTGTTTCTATTCAACTCCCCAAATCATCTTACAGTTAGTTTTGGCCTTCATTGTGGTCCGGTTAGGAAAATTTCCGGTTTCTCCCAAATGGAAATAGATTGCTTTCTCATTTTAACATAAAATTTATCGCGTAAAATATAAATTATACGAGAAATATGGAAATATTTTGATGTATAATATTTATTATATAAACAAAGCTTAAAAGCTCAACAATTGTTGAGCTTTTAAGCTTGTGTAGTATAACAATACTTTTAAAAAAATGATTTGACAAAAACAAATGATTTTAAAATGAAAAAGAAACGATGACGCGGCGCTCCCATCGACTACCTGCAAATGACGGCGACGTCAATTGGAATGCGACGTCGCGCGAAGATTAAAATTTGCGACAGAAATTCAAATTTAACATCAAAACATCTCGAGGAACACATTTTTTTTCTCTAAAATTCATTCTCAACTTTCCTTTTCATACTTTCTTACGATTGTCGATTCTAACTGGGCTTATCATCAAATAAATCTAAATTTAAGACAGCTCTGTTTATATGCCAGCCAACTAAATTTAAAACTTGTCACCTCTGTGGGTTGAAGCGCGGGAGCAGAACCAAGCAAACGTTTTTAGGTGACCACATCAACGAAATTACCCCGTCATGATTGTTATCTTTGCTATGGAGCGGTGGTGAATGATGGCTATGGATGTGCATACAATATTCAGCCCGATCATTTCATCTTCTCGCCAGCCGCTTTTCGGTTGGGTTTAATTAACCGATAACAAACATTTTGTTAGTCTCTAAAAACAAGCTTTTCAAGTCATAAAAGAATATACCGAAAATACTGTAATAGTACCCCACCCCCATAATGACGGAGTTAAAGAGTGTTGCGTAGTCTAGCTTTGAACAAGTTTTTCTCGACACTGGTTTATGCTACAATGTTCGTTTTGGTATCAAAAAATAGCCCTGAATCTCAGCTATTTTTTGATACCAAAGAGGCATTTTTTGAAAGTACGGGTGCTTTGAAAAAAATAAAATACTAAAAAACTTTTGCGACTACGCGGCTGTACGACTGGGGGTGGGGTACTATTACAGTATTTACGGTAGTATACTTTTCTGAACTACTCATTTTCAGAAGTTCCTCTAAAACCGATGTGCACAAATTCAAGGCGAGTCTCGTTTCAGCGCTGCGTGAGATGGCAGAGTTGTTAGAATAATTTAGCTATTTAGTTTGTTTATAATTTCTGATGAGTAATCCTTTTCGTAAACGAAATTCCCCGAGTTGATCTCGTCGATGAAAGATACGATCTCATTCACTCAAAGTCATTCTTGCCCTCTTTTTAAAATTCCGGTCAACTTTTTCGTTTGTTTCCATTTTTAAGAGAAATAGTCATTTTTAGGTGTTTCTTTTTTATCTAGATGTGAGTAATTTTTTGTCAAAAGTGATGTGTGGATAGCAATAAATAGTTTCACTTTTAAGAAAGATGGCTGGGGAAATCACAGGGAGAACCTTGTGTTAGATTCAAACAAATAAAATTCAATGTTAGATTCAGACAAAGACAAATCGTTAATAAACAAATACAAAGAAACATAAATGCTTAAAGCTCCTGCTTAAAGCTTTCAAATTAGAAATTTATTCAAGCAAAAACTGTTGAGATCGTGGTGGATCTTGTTTTGAATGTTTGAATAGCATTAAGATTATTTGAGCAACGTTTAGCCATAGAGTAACATGGCATTATTACAAAAAAGTTCAAGATTTGGACAAATTTTTGAAAATTGATGTTTAAAAAAGATGTTTAGATTCTTGTATACTTTCGGAACTTTTATTGATATCTTAAAATGTTCAACAATATGGTCAACAATTTGGCAAACAATCTAGAGTTCAGGACAATCATTCAGGACACCAATTGCACTGTGGATACTCATTTAGCCTTTACTTCTTGTAGAATCGATTTTAAGGTGAGAATTAATGTTGTAGAACTTTTCATATCCACCCCGCCCCTTTTACCATTAGCAATCCAACTTTAAGCTCAAATATCTTGGTGCTGGTCTGTTTAATTTTAATAGTTTTTGTACCAATCGACAGAGAAAGACTTGGCGCATCCAATGATACCAAGAATATTTAAATTAAACACCCCAACACCAAGAAATTTGAGCTCAAATTTGGATTGCCAATGGCAAAAGGGGCGGGGCGTCTGATAACCTGGAATTAAGGCGAGTTATGTCAGACCAGAAGGCTAACAAGGGAAAGGCACCGAGTTAAGCTGGCTTTTTGACTCAAAACCAAATCTATCTTATAGGATTGGTCATAGGGATCTCGAATCCGTTTTTAGTTTTTGCCGAACGCTTCGCAAATGCGCGATATCTGCTTAAGAGGCCACCAGCCTTCCCAAATGCTTTCGTGGTCTAGTGGATAGTCTGCTAGACTACCGAACCTTCTAGTGGATAGTCTGCTAGACTACCGAACCTTCTAGTGGATAGTCTGCTAGACTACCGAACCTTCTAGTGGATAGTCTGCTAGACTACCGAACCTGTTACAGCCTGTCTTTGATCCCAAGTTCGAGTCTCATTCTCGCCAAACTTTTTAACCTTTCTTAAAAAGCTTTTTTTCCTATAAATTTGCAATGAAAATAAAGTTGAATTTTATGCTTTCAGAAATTTGGTAATGTTAAATTGTCTTATCTACTGATTCTGATACTTTAAAAGGTTCCAGTTGATGTAAATTATCTAGAAGACTGCACAAATCACTGCTCATCATCAAGTTATATTTATAACATCTTAGCGCACATCTTCAGTAACTACTTTTTTCTATAATCCATTCAAACAACCCAAAAAACTAAATAGTCTAGCTGTTTCTTGGTTTAAAAGTGTTTATAGGTTGAAGTTCTACCAACCATAGAGGCTAAGAGGTTACAGGCTAAGAGATTACAGGTTAAGAGGTTACAGGCTAAGAGTTCAAGTAAAGTAAACTTGTTTCTGTTTTCCAAAATCCATCCAAACAATTAAAAAAAACAATTAATGAGTGGTCAGTAAGGATTGAAAAAAAAAAAAAAGTGGGGTGTCATAAATAGAGGGCAATAGAGAATAGGCAATAGAGATCCCTGCCCCTTGCAGTCCCCTCCTCACCTATCCACCTTGCGAGAGGTGGCGATAAGCGCATCATTCCCCAATTTCCCCCCATTCACCCCACCTTTTCGGGGAGAAAGTAATCAATCGTTTGTCTTTTCATTCAACCAATTTCTCTCGTTATCCCTTTTTGCTTTTCTTTTCTCTATCCTTTTTTTGCTTGGATTGAATGAAGAGACTCCAAAGATTCCCCCTGGAGACTCGCCGCTCATTTTCACCTTTTTTTTTTATGTAACTCTACCGGTTTTTCTAAGTTTGTTCGTATTCAGAGAATCTATCTTTCATTTTTGCTATTCCAATACAATTTTCCTTCCATCCAATTTTTCCTATAATTGAATAGAAAGAATTATTTCAAGATCTTGTTTACATAGCTTAATTATACTATTAGGTTGTCCGGTTTGTTTATAAATAAATGAGCGTTTACAACCCATAACTAAAATCCCATAACTTGATCCAAACAAAACTTTATTAATCGAAATAAGAACCATTACAATTAACACATTTTTGGCCAATGATAAACAAGTTTATTTATGCCGATAGCATAGAAGTCCGGGCTTCTGGAGGCGATAAAGTTTTTGCAGGGTCGGCTTTGTGACGTGTGGACGAGTGTTGTCGTGGAGAAGAATTGGACCTTTTCTGTTGACCGATGCCGGGCACATTCGCCTCAATTTCTGGTGCATTTCGCCGCTTCAGCTGCATTGTGACCGAGTTTGAACTCAGAAAAGAAAATCTGACGAAAGTTGGTTTCGGACATCTAAAACGGTGAAGCTTAAAATTCGCAAAAAATTTTATTTTCAACAAAATTTAAAAGTATGGTTAAAGAGAGCACGAAGTCAGCTTTCTAATGGTGTAGTGATTGTTGGTGGTTTAGATATAATCTTTATTACAGCAATAATAGTTGGTTGGTTGGTTGGTTCAGTGGTTTGGGGATTGGGAGAGTAGAGACGACTCCACGGCACACCTCGGCAGCTCGTTCACATTGCTTTTATACAGAACTTTGGCGTCGGTCTCGTCTTGCACACATTGGAGTTGAACGGATAGCGACGCATATTAAATCTCGCACAATAGTCAATAGAATAGTCGTTCACCCACAAAGGTGTCTGGCTGGCCATTTCCATCTGTGGCCTGGCCTGTCTGGGCTTAGGCTTAGGCTTAGGCTTGGACTTAGTGCGTAGGCTAGCGGCTAGCGCCTAGCACTAAGTCTATTTGGGTTTGGGCTGAACCCCCATTTTCTGTTAGGCTTAGGCTTAGGCTTAGGCTTAGGCTCAGGCTTAGGCTCAGGCCCTTTGTTAAGCAATGGTTTATAGACAGACTTACAGACTGTAAATTATAGCCAGCTCTTTCCTCATGTCTGGCTGGCCATCTGGGCCTGGCCTGTCTGGCTGGCCATCTGGAGCTGGCCTGTCTGGCTGGCCATCTGGGGCTGGCCTGTCTGGCTGGCCATCTGGGCCTGGCCTGTCTGGCTGGCCATCTGTGGTGATCTCGATCACTAGATCGTCACGACAAATGGTATCTAACATTACAACGTACAGAGCATACTTTATTGAGAAAAATGTACCCAAATAATAAACAATACAAAACGCTCATTTATTTCCGGACGAGCTATAAGCTATAAGTTGACTAGTTGACTAGTTGGTTAGTTGATCTAGTTGGCTAGTTGACTAATTGGCTAGTTGATTTAGTTGCCCTTTTCCTAACTCAAGTTTAGTTTGAAATAACTCTTCTTTTGAAGAGGATTATTACGATAATTACGAAATAATTACGATAAATTAGCCCAGTATGGAAAAGAAGTACTGTAGCGTTTATTTTGATGAGAACTCAAAACAAAACCAACTCCATTGCAGTGGATTGGCCTTTAGCTAAACAACAGTACTTTCTTGAGTACTAAATGCATACAAAATCTAGAACTTGAACTTGAATTTGGTGTTTTGACTTTCTCTTTCTCATTCTCCATTTTGTCTTTTTCTTTTCTTTTCTGTCTCCATCTTTTGCTTTGCTCAGCTACCGTAGCGTTTCCCCTCTCTGCAAGCTCTCTCAATTCCAAAACAGGAATTGAGGCAGAAAACAATATTTCTTGCTACCAAATTTACTGTTTATTGACAGAATTTTGAGAAGAAATATGAAATATTGATAGAAAAGACTCTTATAGTACTTGTATCCCTTTACCGAGACTTTTTATGTTTCAGACAAACTGACTTGTAATTGTGACCAATTGTGATCATTGCCAATTAGCGTTGCTGTTGCTGTTGTTGTTGCTGTTGTTGTTGTTGCTATTGTTGTTGCTGTTGTTGTTGCTGTTGTTGTTGCTGTTGTTGTTGTTGCTGTTGAAGTTAACACGACTTTAACCCTGACTGTGACATCTATAACCAACTTTGAACTAGTTACGGATACTTTAGCAGCCTAGGTAGCTATGTTTTGAACAGAAATTCAAAGATCTTAAATCTTGATCTTGTTCTTTTGCCTTTTCTTGTCTTACTTTTCTTTTACCAGCTTCTTCGGCTTCTTCTTTACCAGCTTCTTCTTTACCAGCTTTACCAGCTTCTCCAGAACACATTTCGATAGTAATAAACTTGAAATTCTTAACTTGGTTATAGCTAAAATCAAAGAAATTCCAAGGAAAAAGGAAAAAAGAAAGAAAAAAGACGAATAAAAACTTTTTTAGGTGGATTAACTGGAAGTGATCTTTCATTACTATCTAATAATAATATTTATCTAAATATTTGAATTAAGTATACATATTTTAATCAATTTAAAATGTTATTGAATATTTGAATCTTTTCGCTAGTGGACTTTGGGCTTAGGCTTAGGCTTAGGCTTGGACTTAGTGCGTAGGCTAGCGGCTAGCGCCTAGCACTAAGTCTATTTGGGTTTGGGCTGAACCCCCATTTTCTGTTAGGCTTAGGCTTAGGCTTAGGCTTAGGCTCAGGCTTAGGCTCAGGCTCTTTGTTAAGCAATGGTTTATAGACAGACTTACAGACTGTAAATTATAGCCAGCTCTTTCCTCATGATGAAATACCTCTTGTCAAATGTGCTCTCTTACATTTAACATTCTTTGACCAAATCGAAACATTTGTGAGCGAAAAAGGAAGAAATTTTTATGTCACGTGGAGTGATTGGGGTGATTGGTGGAGTTGAAAGGGAGAGATCTCTTCAATATTATCCATCCACCTTTGAGATCTCTCTCCCACACTCTTCTAATATTATTTCTTCAACTTTATCGCAATTGCAATCGTTTATTTCACTTGAAAATTGTTGCTGCTTTCCGGTGAGAACGTTTAGTGTTTTTTTGTCAATTCGGTTTTGATTAGACAGTTTATTTGAAGCTTGTTCTATAAGCTTTTAAGTTCTAGATCAATCAATCAGCATGATGATCGATCAGCCTTTTACTTGTATATCATTATACTTGTTAGACCAACTTCTACTGTTAGTATAATTATTGTTATCCTTGATCTAACAAAAGCTTACCAAAACTGCAAAAGTGTCAACGTTCTTGTTCTGCTAGACGAAATTCTGTACTTCTTAAAGGTGCTCAGTCTTGTTGAGAACCTAGTAATGGTAAGAAAGATTGGTAATCAACTCCAATCCACCATTTCCCCTAAAGGTTGTTATTGAAAATCTTGTCATTTTCTTTTTGCTGACATAGCTGTTTTTTCATTTCATCTCTCAGTATCCTATTTTGATAAGGGAAAAGAAAAAAAAACAACTAGAAATTCTTCCTTTCTGAACTTATTTTCTTTATTTTCTCGAATTGATTTAATTTTTAGAAGGTGCCTTCAAACAAGAAAATCTTCAAGTCGTTCGTTTGGAGCGGGGAGGACCATTCATTGTTTGTTTAAATAAAGAAAAAGAAATAATAAATAAAAGTAGATAAATAAAAGTAAATAAATAAAAGTAAATAAATAAAAGCTGATAAATAAAAGCAAATAAATAAAAGCAAATAAATAAAAGCAGATAAATAAAAGCAAATAAAGGAAAAGCAAATAAATAAAAACAAATAAACAAAAACAAATAAATAAAAGCAGATAAATAAAAACAAATAAATAATAGCAAAGCAATACCCTTAAAATCAACTTTTCAATTAAAATCTAAATTTCAGTGGTGGATCTCATTGTGGCCGAGCCGTGCCACCCAGTGGACTCAACCCGTCCTCGCGTCGAGTGCAAAGAAGAAATCATCAGCAGTGGTGTCAACCATCATTCCCCTCATCCACCCATTCTTTCACCACATCAAATTTCATTTCTCACTCCAATTCTCCACTCGAATCCCCAACGGTGGCCCCTTTGATCGGCAGTGGTGGGCCGTGGATGGCGGCGAGAGGGCCAAGACCCTCGCCTTTTCCATCACCCACGAGACCGCTGCAATTGTTGCTTCATGAATTGGTTGGTTTCAAGAAACACAACTTTACTGGCTTTAGTAAATTGTATTTTCTCTAATATTAGTGCACCTTAAGCTTCGCCTAAATTCCTCGAAATCTCGAAAAGCGCTTATCAGAATCTATCGATGTGGGATCGGAAAATGTAGCTGACGATGAGATCTAGTGGGTGATTAGAGTGTTGAGCTTCTAGGGAAACTTTGAAAGCCGTAAAATAGACACCAACTCGGCTCCCCCGGGTGCTCAGCATCACTTTCCATAAGAAGCATTCATAGCATCAGAAACTCAGCATCACTTTCCACTAAGTTTCAGGATCGTTGCTTGGAAAGAACGGAATATAATAAAAATCAATATAGAAATATTCGGATGGCTGAAGTGGTCAATGGGAATTATTCGGTTTATGAGCAGGGGATGCGGGTCAGTTGGTTATTGCTCGAAATCTCGAGAACCGCTTATCAGAACCTATCGATGTGGGATCGGAAAATGTAGCTGACGATGAGATCTAGTGGGGGATTAGAGTGTTAAGCTTCTGTGAAAGCTTAGAAACTGTAAAATCGTCTGGACTCGGTGGTGTGCACTATCAGATTAGATATTTGTTGTTATGAAATCAGTCCTCTGCCCTAGATCATGCAAGAAGTAGCACAATAGGCTATTCACCGTAATATCTTTTAGCTTAGGTTGTAAAGTAAGAAGTCAGCTGTAAGAATGCCTAAGTAAATAGCTGCCAAAAAGAATATTTTTTCAAGTTCACGCTACAGATATTGCGTGTTTTTAGACCGTTTAACTTTAACATATACCATATTTTCTGTAATACTAGTGCGCACTACTATTTTTTCTTTTTTCAACTCCCCTCCAACCTGCACTACTATTACAGAAAATACGGTGTTAAGCTTCTGTAAAAGCTTAGAAACCTCATCGACTCATCAAATCGTCATCGACTCGGCGGTGTGCACTATCAGATTAGATATTTGTTGTTATGACATATTGTTGTTATGACGTCTGTTAAGGTTTTTCGTACATTTTATCTTTAATTTCTTCGAAAATCATCCAATTTTAAGCAAACTTTGGCAGTAATCTTTCTAAAGATAAAGTTGATACTGAAGAAACTCTCAAGAAGTTTCTGATTTCTTTCTCAATACCATAAACCCAATCTCTTGCCTTTAAAAACAAAAATTAACAATTTGCGGACATTTTTCTGGTCGTTTTGAGGAGAAATTTCGAGTGGGAGGGGAAATCTTCATCAAAAAAAAAAAATGATTAGATAAGGGACAACTTTCGAGACTTTGACTTTTGATCGCTCAATTCCTTTGCGGAAACAACAGACTGGAGAGGTGGAAATTTTTTGGGGAAAGAAATGGGGTGACGAAATGTAACGAAATTGAAAATTTGCAGTGTCCATTGCTGAGTGCTCATCTACAATTGGACGATAGTCCGGATGGAGGGCAAATCAAGAGATTGCTGACAAATGTGATCGAAAGCTCTGAGCAAATTATTGCTGGTAGGCTAAATGTGAAATTCAAGGAAGAACGATTTTGTTGAGCTCTAGTTTGGTATTTGGATTGGTAAATGCCTAAAGAATCTTCGTATTTTGTGATTTTTTCAGCCTTAATTGATAATATTAGGTTGTATTCGCTCCTAGGAGTAAACGGATATGGACTAGAAGTTGAGTTAAGTTAAAGAGAATGGATCCGATCCCTTTTGATATCCTGCCATCTCTCACACCCCAACAATCCAACTCAACTCCTCCAACGTATTAGAGGGGAGTCCCTGTGTGAAATGATCGACCTGAACTACAGTTGCATAGACCCGGAATTCATAGATATGTATCTTTAAGAAATCGTTTTTCTCGTGCAAAAAGTGAGCTGAATTTAAGCTGGAAAATAATCATTTTTCTAAAAATCTCTAAAATTTTACGGAAAAGCTGTACTCATTTTTTTCCCCTCTAATACGTTGGAGGGGTTGAGTTGGGTTGTCGGGGTGTTAGAGATGGCAGGATATCAAAAGGGATCCACTCTCTTTAACTTAACCCAAATTCTAGTCCATATCCGTTTACACCCAGGAACGAATACAGCCTAATATTATCAATTAAGGCTGGTAAAAATCACAAAATACGAAGATTCTTTAGGCATTTACTGTGCAGTAATTTCTTGAAGTCGACTTGTAAATAATAGAAGAAAAATGTTCTTGAATTAAGTTTTTTTCTTCGTTTTTAAGAAATTCCAGTCAAACGTTCAAGCAAAAAGTTTAAGATATTGAGAAGAATCAACTAATCGATTATTAGTAAGCCTTCAAAAGCCTTCAAAAGCCTTCAAAAGCCTTCAAAATCCTTCAAAAGCCTTCAAAATTCTTGAATTAGTGGATTCGTTTTTAAGAAATTCCATTCAAACTTTTTCTAAGAACTTTCTTTCTAACTTAATATTATTCCAACCTAATATTATTTGATTTCCAGAACTTGAGCAACTTGCTACAACCGATTTGTCGAAATTCGAATCAGAATGGGCGTCTTTGACTTGGCCTTGTCTCACCGTAGCTTCATTGTTACGAGACAATCCAGGAGACAGAGAACTAAGGTTGGTAATTAAAATCTTACTTATTCAATAGCTTTGCTCAATAGATTATTGAGAAAATAGCTTTGCTAATCGGTCGTTATTGGCTTGGCTTCGCTTGGCTTCGCTTGGCTTCGCTTGGCTTCGCTTGGTTTCGACCTTGGTCGTTAAAAGAGAAACGGATAAACTTGAAGCTTTCAGCGAACTTGAGGAACGGGTGAACGTATTGGTAGTTTCGTTGGTGAACGTGTGGAGAAATCCGCTCGCAATCGACTCAAATCATCCAGAGAACATCTATTTATGGCAACAATTCAATACGGTAGGATTGTAGACTTTAATTCTTATAAAGTACGGCACTTTATAAATGAATTTTATTCTCTAATATCTCTGATTTCAGTATTTGACCTCAGCTCTCCAGTCAATTCATTCCCTTTACTCGAGAAGCGATCTGCACAACGCTCTTCACGAAATAAACACGTTTCGACAAAATGAGGTAAATGAATTTACGCGAAAACGATCAAATTCTTATTTAGTTGGCGATATGTCTTGGATCGTTTAAGCAACTTTGTCTAAACTATTCAAAAGAGTAAGTGTTTACACGTTTGAAGTTTAAGTTAAGTTCTTTTTAAGGTTTAATGTTCAAGCAAAAAGTTTAAGATATTGAGAAGAGTCAACTAATCGATTATTAGTAAGCCTTCAAAAGCTTTAAAAGCCTTCAAAAGCCTTCAAAGCTTTAAAAGTCTTCAAAAAGCCTTCAAAAGCCTTCAAAATTAAGCCTTCAAAAGCCTTTAAAAGCCTTCAAAGCTTTAAAAGCCTTCAAAAGCCTTCCAAAGCTTAAAGCTCAAGTAAAGATTTAAGATTGAAAAACCAGCAAATACAGGTAAGTTTTTACAAGAGCTTTACAGAGTACTGACAACGGTGAGAGAATGTCAAGTGGAACGGGTTTCCCTTTGCCATCAAATCCCAGCTGACGTGGTTTACCGAGCCGAGACCTATTACTCGAAAATTCTCTATTGCATGAGCATCATAGCAGCTCGATTGCAGGTAAAATCTAGGTACTTTCTCAAGAAAACTGATCATCTGATCCCTCTTTCTTATACAATCACCCAATGCAAACCAATCTTGTTATACCATCCGAAAATTTGGATCCTTTGAGGCTATTCTTTGAGATGCAAAAAACAGGATTGGTTAATCAATGTGTTGATTAACAGTTTCCCTTCAGCTGTTGAGTGTTAATCAATGTTAATATATTTTTCAATATATTGACATTGATTTCAATGTTAATATATTTCTTTTAATCCTTTATTACAGGGTTTCCGCTATTGGCCTTTCGGTGGTTCGGATCCGATTCGACCGTTAATCGATTCCGTTTCAATAGTTGTTGAGCAGTTGCTAGCTGGTTAACATAAATCAAATCAAAAATTTCAAGAATCTTTCTAGAATGTCTATTCTGTAGCGAGCCAACAGCATCTCCGATTTTGGTCACCAATAATTTATTCCCATTTCGATCGGGTTGTCTAGCAAGAGGACCTGTTTTTTCATCATTCACCGTTCAAATTATTGGAGAGGAAACCGCGCAAACCATACAGGTTTACTTAAAATATCGATAAATCTCAAGATTTGGTTTGGAATTTAAAACAAATAGGATTATGGTTTAAGGCACGGTGTGATAGCTCTTTTCTGATGGTATGATAGCTCTAGGAATAACAATAAGATCATAATATGATAGGAGCAATATGATAAGAGCAATATCTCTAACTGAATGAGCTCTAACTGAAGAACTGATGACTAGAACTAGAAAGCCCTGAATGCCAACGAAATGAGATTCCAGGAAGAGATTCGTAATGCTGTTACCGGTGGCCGTCCTCCATCATCAGTTCTTGGTGGCTCGAAAAGTTTCCCTTCAGCTGCACTCCTCGCAATGAAGCCAACTTCGGGAACAAAGAGAAACAACTCCACTGCAAATGCAGGTAAATCTATTTAACTGAAAGTACTAGACTTTATATTTTGGCACTTAGCGGCTCAATTATTTTTACAATTCACAAATTTGCATAGCAAAAATACCAACAAATATCCACAAAATGCAAAACAATTGGGAATATATTATATAATTATATACATTGACAAAGTAAAAGATTTATTAGATTGAATAGATTGAATAGATTGAATAGATTGAATAGATTGAATAGATTGAATAGATTGAATAGATTGATTAGATTGATTAGATTGAATAGATTGAATAGATTGAATAGATTGAATAGATTGAATAGATTGAATAGATTGAATAGATTGAATAGATTGAATAGATTGATTAGATTGATTAGATTGAATAGATTGAATAGATTGAATAGATTGATTAGATTGATTAGATTGAATAGATTGATTAGATTGATTAGATTGATTAGATTGATTAGATTGAATAGATTGATTAGATTGATTAGATTGATTAGATTGATTAGATTTATTAGATTTATTATATATTCCCAAATGAGCCACTGTAAATATCTAACTCATGAGTAACTTCATTTCTTTCAGAAGGTGGAAACACCGCTCATAAGAAGTCCGACGTGAACTCGAAAGAAGCTGTTCAATTGGGAGCAACTTTTTCGGATAAACACGCCACTTGGACGGCTTCATATCCACATTTATTATGCACGACAAGGCAAAAGGTATTGTAAGAAAATGACAACCTTAGATTTTAAGCTCTAGGATTCCGCTTTGTTGGACGTGAGGTCGAATCAAATTGGGAAACGATCACTTTTCTATTTTTATATTAAAGGTTGGACGAAAGATAGCTAGAGCTAAAAAAAATATGCTACTTTATGCTACTTTCTATACAACTTTAGGTACAATGTTTTCCTTGCGAGAACAACCGGCGCATGTTTACACTTTGAGTCTTCCATTCACGATTGCAACAAGGAGAAATCAGGTAAAGTTCAAAAGATATTTAGAATTGCCGAGTTCAATGAATGTTTTCCAACGAACGAATGCTCAACAAATGACTTCAAAAACGGAATTTAGGATTGTCAAGTTCAACGAATGATGTCCTCTTATACAGCTACTTGTTTTTGGTTATACGGTAAATAAAAACCAAATCGATAGTTTTAAATATTCTTTAGGCACTTGTTCTCTAGACGGTCTTGTATTGAAATGGACTGAAGCTGATATTTCGTGGCAGAACTTTAAAGAGTTGTACAAGGCTCATTTCAGATCGACGGCTGAGGTTTGATTTCTTAGAGATTTAATGAACAAACCGTATTTTCAATATAGCCTTTAATTCTAAAAGTATTCAGGTAGCACGTGACCTTTCTGAGGCGGATTTCCACTTGTTAGAGCAAAAGATGTGCTGTGAGGAGTGTGAGCCAAATGAGAGGATCTTTCAGCAAGAACCAGGTGAGAAAGGAGGAAATGCAAATAAGTAGAATGGCGGTATTTAATAGCTAGATCTACTGGTAGATCAAGTTCAAAGGCAGAACAAGTCAAAACCAAGACAAGTCAAAGCCAAGCCAAACTAAAGTCGAGTCAAGCGAAGCGAAGCCAGGCTAAGCCAAGCCAAACCAAGCCAAGCCAAGCCAAGCCAAGCCAAGCCAAAACCAAGCCAAGCTAAAGTCGAATTAAGCCAAGTGAAGCCAAGTGAAGCCAAACCAAGCCAAGTCAAGCCAAAACCAAGCCAAAACCAAACCAAGTTTACTCCAGTTCTCATTTTCCAGTGATGGTATCATTCAAGAATGTCATGTGTCCCCATCTCCGATATGAATCCAGCGACGTTTCCTCGAAATTCAGCATTTGGAGGGGATTACTTGAGCTTTTACAGGTTGAAAACTCTTCGTTTTCTGATTAACAAAAGTTTAGTTCTTCCAAGACGCAAAAACGAACACAAAAGCTTTATGGGATGACAATTATTTGTTGGGATTTTTAGACTGCGATCGAGTGAGAGAAAAGTTCATCTTTTTGAATTTACAAATATTTAGGCAAGAGCTTTGGTGACCTCTCATCAACCACCAGTGTTGTGTCTTTATTTGTCCTATGCTGGAGGAGGAGCCATATGTTTTGGTAACAAAAATTGTTGTCTATTAACAATCTAACAATCTTTTTATCTAAGTTTATCAATATCTTTTCAGTAATGAAACGAGCCAACGGTCAAGTGATTCATTTGGAGCCGCTGGACTTGAAGAAATTGCAGACAAAAAGCCTTAACGAGTATGTCACTGATATTGCTGTTGCGGAAAGGGTTAGTTGATCTGATTGATCTGATTGATCTGATGATCTGATTCTCGAAATGAATCTTTTCAGATCAATTATCTTGTTAATGCAAATGGTCGCCTTGTGTCAATCAATGAAATAGCAATGAAATATCGAGCTGGAGTCGAGGGAAGGCCTGGGAAAGAGGTTTCCAGTAATGTCACTCATCCTGGATCGACTCAACTGATGAATCCAATGAGGTTAGATATTCAAAAACTTTAGCTAAACAACTATAACTGGTTATAATCTTACTACTTTCAGCAAAATGATAATTTGGGCAAGATTCTGTCTTCGATTTCGATCCCAAAAAAAGCTATTCATCCTCTAGCTCTATAAAAATCATCGCTATTCATCATCCGTTAACTAAATTTTGATTTGAGGCTAAAAAATGTTGAATTTAATATTTTGTACAACGAAAATCATTCCAGTTTCATTCCAGTTTCACCCCGGTTCGCATTGCCGTAGTGACTTGTGATGAAGAACTCCCACGAGAGGAGAACAAACCGGAAAACGGGAACAGAATTGGTCTAGACTTGACCTCAAATGTACCCTTTGTAACTCCAATGGGGAATCCCAATCAACTTGGAAACACTCCCATCACACCGGCTGTTTGTTGTCTTCTTGAAAAAGCTAAGAAAGAATGTTTAGAGCTATTGTTCTCATGTACTCTCAACGACGCATCTCGGATCGAATCAAGATTTCCTTCTTCAATTGCGACAATTGATGAAGATACATGGGAAAGAACCGGAAGAAGTCAGAGTTGAGAAAAGCTATTATAGAAAAGCTATTTAACTGGTACTTAGTCTAATGAAAACAAAACTTTAAAGCTAGCCAAGCTTCAAAGCTACTGAAAAGTCTTTTTGTTCTATTAGACAAGAAAAACTCAATCAATAAAACAGGTTGAATATCTTAAAAACTCGTTAAAGAGGTCATCTTACAGACCGTCTCACAGATACAGATCTTTATCTTACGGTAAGGGTATTGTACAACTGTAAAGTCAGATAACTAGGATTCTACAATAGCTAGGTTACTGTAAAGCTGCAAAGCCGACTTAGCCGAACAATGCAGTAACTAGAATACTGTAAACATTACTGTGCGGTTCCAGTACCTGTAAAGCCAGGTATTGGGCTGTACAGTAGCCAAGTTACTGTAAAACAGATCTAGACAGATCTAGACAGATCTAGACAGAGCTAAACAGATCTAAGCAGATCTAGACAGATATAAAACAGATCTAGACAGATCTAAAACAGATCTAAACAGATTTAAACAGATTTAAATAGATCTAAACAGATCTAAACACATCTAAACAGATTTAAACAGACCTAAACAGACCTAAACAGATCTAAACAGATCTAAACAGATCTAAACAGATCTAAACAGATCTAAACAGATCTAAACAGACCTAAACAGATCTAAACAGATCTAAACAGATTTAAACAGATTTAAATAGATCTAAACAGATCTAAACACATCTAAACAGATTTAAACAGACCTAAACAGACCTAAACAGATCTAAAAAGATCTAAACAGATCTAAAACAGATCTAAACAGATCTAAACAGATCTAAATCGATCTAAACAGATCCATCCAACAATTCGCAAAATTGATCCAAAAAATTGGATCGAAAGATTGAGCCACATAAAGCTCCAGAAGCTTGTCTTTGTGTTAGCAAATCCCTGAATAAACTAATGAACCTTTTTCAAGCTTAATCAAATCTCTTTGAGGTCTTCTCTCATCTCCAATATCTCACTTACTCAAACGGGAACTCGACAATGCAAGAGACATCGAATGGTGCCTATAATCTTGGGATTTAGAATTTATCTCTGCCATCAATCTCTTAACTTTCTTGTGATTTTCCTCAGGATTTCCATCTATCACCGTAGTGTACAGTACAGTAGAGTACAAGCCTCTAGAAATCATAGCTAACTTATTCACCGCTTTTTTTTTCTGTTCTCAACATTTCAGGTGGTTTTTCTCTAGTTTTATTTACCGGTAGTCGCATAATGGTTAGTGTTTTTTTCCCCCACATCAGTCAATCTACCCTCATTTGCATTTTCGGTGGCAAATACGCATTTTTTTTTTATCTTTATTATAGCTCTTTTTAGATTTTTCATGACATTGTGCTATTTGTTTATTTTAAATTTATTTTTAAATTTATTTTTAAATAGCTGAATAACCTTTCATAGTTTATAAATCTGAAACAATTTGAAAAAGAGACACCTCTGAAAACTGAAAATGTTTACGGTACATTGTTTTGTATTATTTCTGAATTTTTTAATTTAAATTCAAAGCTATTCAGTTAACAAGCTATTCAGTTATTAAGCTAATCAGTTAACAAGCTATCCAGTTAACAAGCTATTCAGTTAACAAGCTATTCAGTTAACAAGCTATTCAGTTACCAAGCTATCCAGTTAATAAGCTATTCAGTTAATAAGCTAACAGCTATTCTGATCGATTAGGATTAATAAAATCTAGTGCCAAGAGACAAGCGATTCAACGATTTAAAGGTTCAACGAAATATTACGAAACGAATATACGAATACGAATAATCGATACGAAAAACGAAACGACTCATTGCCACTATTCAGATACCGTATTTTCTCTAATAGTAGTGCACCCTGAGCGTCGCCTAAATTGCTAAATTCCTCGAAATCTCGAGAACCGCTTATCAGAACCTATCGATGTGGGGTCGGAAAATGTAGCTGACGATGAGATCTAGTGGGGATTTGAGTGTTGAGCTTCTGCAGGAACTTGGAAACCGTAAAATAGCCACCAACTCGGCTCCCCGATGTGCACTACTATTAGAGAAAATACGGTATTCAGCTTATCGATAGGATTTTATAGAAAACTTTTGAATAAGGTAATTCTTTTTCTGCTCTGAATATTTCAGGTGAATTTTGTCTAGCTTTCTCTACCGATAGTTGGTTAGTGTTTTTCTTTCCCCATCATCACAGTTAATCAAAATTTATAAAATATAGAATTGGGGACAATTACTCGAACAAGAAACTTTCTTTGAATGTTATTCGTTAACCGTTCTCTCTTTTTTTCTCTTTTCTATAAATTCTTTTTCTATAAACTCTTAATTATCCTCGTAAAAAGTAGTCACATTTTTCTAGTCTTAATCTTGTTTTTTCTCGAGTTTTTAAAAACCAAAAAACAGAAAGGGGGAAAACAAAGTTTATTGGATGAATTTTACCCGATGAATACTGTAAACATTACTGTACAGTTCCAGTACCTGTAAAGCCAGGTATTGGGCTGTACAGTAGCCAAGTTACTGTAAAACAGATATAAATAGATCTAAACAGAACTAAACACCCGATGCTTTGTGATTCGAAAGATCTTTCTTTTCGATCTTTCTTTTCAGTAATGTCCTAATACAGGGTGGCGAAAAATTCTGTACCTGTATTCCTGTATTGAAGCCTGTATTGAAGCCTGTATTGAAGCCTGTATTGAAGCCTGTATTCTTGCCTACATTTCTGTACAAAAAAGTCTGCGAAAGTCTGCGTTGACTGGCTCCAAAGTTACAACGAAGAACTCTTGTCCGTGTAGTTTTGCCCAACCCTTTATAGTGCCAAGAGACAAAGAGCAAGTGCTTAAGGTTCAACAAAAAAAAAATAGTGAATCATTCCGAATACAGCCATGTATTCATTCAAATGTGAAAAATGCGACCTCGGAAAGGTGGGAGAGAGGTTATAAAAGGGTAACCAAAGGGGGAGGGCAAAGGGGAGGTGTTCCCTGTAATTTGTTGATGGTATTGTCATAGGTGGGATGGAGGGGTCGGCCTTGTTTACCCCTTTACCCCTTGCCCGTGTTTCCATCTGCTCTCTTCTTCTCTTCTTCTCTTCTTCTCACTTTTGACCAATACAGCCTCCAATCCCCGGTCCATCCCGGTCCACCAAGGCCCCAATCAATATTCGAGGCTTGCACCAGTTCTTAGAATCAAATTTTTGTTTTCAATGTTTTCATTTCAATTCCTTTTAACTTCTATCCCTGAGAAGCTTTATAAAAACTTTTAGCTTCATGATTAATCAACTTGTTAAGTTATAAAGTTATTAGGTTATCAAGTTATCAAGTGGTCAAGTTATCAGGCTTTCAAGTTTTCAAGTTATCAAGTTATCAAGTTATTAGGTTATCAAGTTATCAAACTTTCAAGTTATCAAGTTTTCAAGTTATCAAGTTGTCAAGTTATCAAGTTATCAAGTTATCAAGCTTTCAAGTTATTAGGTTATCAAGTTATCAAGCTTTCGAGTTATCAAGCTTTCAAGTTATCAAACTTTCAAGTTATCAAACTTTCAAATTATCAAGCTTTCA